TATTACTATTTGCTCAGTAATTTTGGTTAAGATTTATGGAGCTTGGGGTGCTCATCTAGTAACGATTTGAAGTACGGATCGATAATACGTTTGACTCGGACTGAGCATAACTTATAACCCGAAAATGGAGTGGCACTAATTTTCTATTTAGTGTCAATGTTAACTAACCCTGTTTTCTTAGGTCAACGATCAGGGCATGGTGTGTTAGCAGGTCTATGACAACGATTGGCACTGACGTATCTGCAACAAAAGGGTCTAATAGATGATTTCGCTTAAACTGACGTTGAGATAAACGTGCAACTTACCGTAAGTGAAACGCAATTCACCGTTTGCCGCCTGTAACTTGAAACGCGGTCTTGCAGAGTAAGAGCATATCGTATGTTCCCGCCATTAATCTTCACGACCAATCATATCCGTGCGCAAATGATGGAATACGCGGCATTTTTGGCATAACCGTGAGACAATATAGATCTTGTAGCTTGAATTTCCTTCTTTTCACGGCATTTAGATTGCCTATCGTAGTTCATGTGAGCTCGACTAAACTTTACGTAACTTCCACCATGTGTGATGTCATGAGTAGTTTTTGTGGATTTCCATTCCCCAAATGTCAGAGAATAAATTCTTCGTTTCAAAAGTTGGCTTTTCACAAGTTCATGTCATGTTTATGCCGCGGATATTGCCGGTTGCCGAAAAAGCTACGATACTTTATGTCGGGATGTTTCCTTGCCCGCTTCTCACAACTGCCATCTTTGTTTACGTTCTTTTCAGTTCTTTAGAGGTATCAGTATTGTCAACAAACCTTCCAATAACCACCACTTGGTGTACTATTATATAATGAGTGTAACCTGAGTTATGTGTGTAAAGTTGGGTGGCTTAGCTGCGATGTATGTTGATGGTTAACTGCAAAGAGGTTTATCCATTATTTCCTAATCTTTTTAATAACCACAAATATGCGATAAACTACTATATAAGTTGTTATTTCTACGTTAGTCTTTGCTTGACAATGTGCGGGTTGCTAACCGTATGAGCAAGTACAAACGTTCAGGAAACCCAGACGGTTAAACCTTAACTTGTATATATCGTAATAGATCCAGATACCATATTATAAACCAAGACGACTAAAGTGAAGACAATTTTCGTTGTCAATGTGAGTAAACTGATTACTGACGTACTGATATATGAAGTTATTGGTTGCAATCGCTTTTCATACTTTTCAGTTTGTATGATTATATTCGTTTGTACATCTTCCATGTACGACATGTTGACAAACATAAAAGCAGATAAGAACGCATTTAAGGGTGAAATCTAAGAATTTCGTGATCTATTACGAACATTTTTAATACTTCCTCCAAGGTTTATGACTTAATTGCATTTTCATTATCGTTTTTTTTCGATTGCACAAATTCCATAGTCAGGCAGTTTATAGAGCTCCTATAATTTAGGCTGAGTATAAGCATGGCTTACCGATGCGGAAATTATGAACTATTTAAAGTGGGTCGTCGTAAGGGTCATAGAACAATAACACATATGACCATTCGGTATAATTATATTGTAGTGGGTGGCCCTTTGTCAAGCCCACATAGGTTGTTTTAGTTCCCGGACAGACCTATCTATCCATTCTTCTTAAATCACATTTTGACCTTGTCGCTTATTGGCTTATAGACCTTCAATGTTTTTATGTGAGTGAATCTGTAATTTGTTTTTATGTGACTATAAATATCAATTTACTCTTGGTTAAATCGAGTTGGCTCGCCTGACATCCCCACCGCGCGTCATTTTGCTTTGTTTCGCTCTGTGCACTTCGAATCCCCCTCTTCGTCTCTCTGGTTGTCTGTCCTGAACAAAGATTATGCAAAATACGCGTATTCAAAACTTTATCCTAGTATTCGACTTATCATAATTCCGTTGTTCACTAACGTGAGTCAAGTCGATAATTATATACGAAGATTGGTGACATGTATATTTCGACAGCAATCATTCAACGACGATCACTCATCCAATCTAATTGGAGTCAGATACAGGGTCCACAAAATATCACGTGTCTTGTCTTATCATTTGACTATGAATTTAGACTGTGGCTAGACCAAGTATATTAAGCTGAGAATCTTCAAGATTGGTTAACGATTTGGTTTAATGTGCACACAAAATAGAATTAATTAAAAACAATATATGTCTTCAATACTCTTAAAACAGTTTAAGAAATACGAAACCTACATAAAAGTCACTGTGGTAAACTTCTTTATTCTATCACTAATTGACTCAACATAACACACGTTAACTTCAAGCATGTGGCCTACTACAGCCGAATATATAACATCAAAAACTAGCAAATGGTGTATCTTAGTGGGACAAGTTGTATACTATATTGAAAATAACTCTTTAACATCTCTTTTTTTACCAGTGAATGAACAAGAAAACAGACTATGTGCCACAAGATGTTTACATGACAAAATGTGGTATTTCGTTGGTTGAAATTATGGGTCAATTGAAGCTAGATCACTATGGAAGACCTGAAAGCACCGGACGGCCGTTTCGTCCTATTATATGACTCCTCAGTAGTGCGCATCCACGATCCCGCACCCCGAGGGATTCGAACCCAGGACCTATCAGTCTCGCGCCAGGCGCTTAAGCAATTAGACTGTAGGGCCAGTGAAATGTCACTGAGCCCTAGCCAAATCATCCGGCAGTTGGATCACTGAATGTCGAACAGTACCTTGATACGTCAATGGGTATAGTCCACGTAAGGTGCTGACCACGAGGTGTGACTTCGACGTTAGTTGGTTCGTCACACCATTCACGTCTAACTTGAGTAGACCTCCAATCATTTCGACATAGATCATCAACGTTGGTGATCTACAAGACCACTGAACTGGCATCAGACGGTGTCAATGTATAACTTCGACCGATCCACGGAGTTGCGCCACCGTTATCAGCGGAGTTCAACTAGGTCTGTTGTGAGATATCAACTCACTGAAGACAATGGTGACATTGATCACCACCCAGTGTTCAATCAATTTTGATTACATTTCAGTCCTACAGGTCAGTTGCGGCTCGGATAGCTTAGTGGTAACGTCTCTGACTGTGAAGCTGGGTGACACGAGATCGAATCCGCCAGGGAGCACCAGTTCCCCCAAGATTACAGGTACACCTTGCTGACGAGTGCCAAGCAGCACGAAACCCGGGTCCAGGGTTTCCTATTGAATACCTCCGACCACCATCTAAATTCAGAGTTGGGTTAGCAACTGAAATGCTGGTCTCGAGTACCCAGTGGGAAATTTTGAGAGAAAGAAGATCCTATAAAAATACTTGCTGTTAGGATTAAAGCGAGCCAACTGGCACACTATTTTTCGTACTGATGACTGGTGATTGTATGCGCAACATTTTGCCAATTGCGGTACGTCAACATCGTATTTTGATTTGCTAGATATACAACCATTGTCATTTTTCTGGGGAACAGAAAACTTCAGCTGAGATCTGCATGTTGAGGCAAACTAAGTGAAGTATAAGTTGTGATAAAATAAAGGTTAATACAACTTTCCAGATCATTCCATGAAATTCGACGACCGTATATGAATGGTCCATTTTCTCAAACTATAATTGTTTAATAATAATTGTTTTTCGAAATCTTGAAATCGACGGAAAACCGTTGTTGGCAGACATAGCTTGTTTCTGTATGTTAACATACATAACACAATTGTGTTATGTAAAATGGTACCGTCGCCAATACGCTCAACGGTCTTTTGAAACTACTTTTTAGGGTGTGTACATGTTCCATGTGTTTCAAAGAGATTTAAAATATACTAACTTGGCTGGCTAAATTCGATTTTAAGATAAATATGGGCATTATTCGTGATTGGTTGAGGAGAACTTACTATCCAATTTTTGGTGTTAGTCGGAACGAGTAATAAATGAACATTAAAAAAAAGCTTAACAACACAATATCATGCATCCTGACAGCTTGTTTCGCATTTATGGTAATAGTTGGCTGCAAAATGGGTAGGACAATTCTGATCTATGTTACTACTTCGGAGTTAATTAACTCCGAACGTTTATCCTCGTCTGTTGACCATCATCACAAACGGAGTAGTTCTCATTCTTTTGCAGCGCAAATAATTGACCAGAATTACTCTGAAAGTTAGGTTCCGCTGGATTTCGACGAAGAAGGCTATTTTTCTGACCATGGTCCAGTCGATGAAATTTGGTTGCCTAGTCGGTGTAGGGTTTTTTGTTACAAATGTATGACAGTCGAGACTATATCACTTTACAGTAGAGCGAGAAGCCGAAAAGTGGAGAAACAGATGCCAAAACCATATTAACAGAAATGAAAAGGATTAAACATAAGAAGAAATATTAAGGGGATGGATGACGTAGAGTAATTAAGAGTATATAGTAACGCTTCAAAGACAGGTGTCTTGTTACTGTTGCAAGTAGTCTGTATGATCCGACAAACATTTGATCTTTGAGCAGTAACCGAACCTTGAAATTATACTGACTAGGTTCATGACTTATTTTTTTAGGATTCTAAAATATCAGAACACAGAATGTAGCAATTTTATTACTTTATTTTATTTAAACACATAGGTACAAGAAGACACCAAATAGGTATGCGCCACATAAATCATTCGATTTTTTGTGAGGGTTAGGATACTGCCCGGGTGCCCAAACCAAAGCAAATGGTTTCCTTAGGAGGCCACACCTCGAGCTTTTGACCTAGAGGTCTGATCCACCAGGTAGTGGAGCAACGTCAGGAGATGCATTCCCATGGTAGGCGGTGACCAACGATTGGTTCATACGCCATCTGTCCCCTTGGGTTCCTGGTGCCCATGTGTATCACTGGTTTGGGATCAGGGTTTTCCAACATCCCTACGTGAATCCTCCATATCCACCAACCCGGTTAAAGCGCCGGAAATTCGCTTTTTGTCCTCTCAATTTCTTAAACAACAGTAATGTCACAATAAGGCGGTGAATAGGACTTCCCTGGCAGTGGTTGTATGTACGTGGCCATGTGAGAGCATTTCAAGAGGCAGAGTTCACTCTCGGCCGTATATGGGCATTTGGGAGCATGTAGCAATTTAGACAGTAGTTATCACATGGTGCCGACTATATGGAATTCGAGGTAGTTAGGACGTTTACCAATAAGTGGGGAAGAGCCCTGAGGCTAAAGGCTTGCTATCTGATTGACTTCGAAAATAGTATTTAGTTTCACAACTAGTGGAGTTTAATCCAATGAAAAGTGTGGGGAGGCAGAAACACAATGTGGCGGAAAGAGAAGGGATTCGTTTCTAACAAATTAAATAGGCTTTTTACAAATGTGCTGCCAAATTGGTTAGATCTGATTGAGGTTGATGCTTAAAGAAAATTCAGGTTTATTAACATGTTCTAGGAATTACTTGTTACATCTAGAAGGTAATCTCGTAACCTTGATTTGTTTTTCAAGACCAGTCAGTTAGTTCGTCACCAACTTTCAGACTATTTATTTAGAACAAATTAATGTTCCTAAGAAACTACCCTTAAACATATCACCACAAAGTCCTTTTATAGAGACACTAGCAGTCAGTTTTGAATGTGGTAAACAAACAAATATTTGATTGAAAACTGTTATATGGTCTTCACTAATAAGGAACCATCAATTTACGTGCACTAAATTAATTGCGTTGACTTATAGGTGACAAAGAAGCTCTAACTTATCATATAAACACAAACTTGGTTGGGCTTAGATAAACGGAAAATCGCATGTCTAGATGATATAGGTATAAAAAGCAACAGAAAATAGATTCAATCAATTAAGTGGAAATGTGGGGATAAGCATTAGTGGTTCTAATTTCATTGTTTAAACTAGGCTTATGATTTCGGAACTAGGTCCGCAATGTAACTGATAATCCACAAAATTGCGAGTTTATTTATTCATTGTTAGCGCCAGGTTTCATGAACAAAACACCGATATGTGGCTTTAATGATATTCCTTCATCTGGAAGCTCCGCATGACTTTCAACTAAGGGGTCTTGTGGTAGTATTTTACCTTGAAAGCTTCGCTAAAAGTACGTCAATCTTCCTAAATCCTCTGATTCAAAAGCTTGATCGTGTTAGAGTTTGTAACACAATGTTGGTTGAGTCAGTAACTTAAGGTATCTGTCCCATATTTTCACTTAACTCCATTATATATACACACCTTCCCCATCTACCTTTTGAGACCTATCTTCTACTTTTGCTGGTTACAGTCCTGCTTAATGAAGATGGTGACAGAATGTAGCCTTTGGAATCTTTTGAGTAACAATGCAAGGATGTTTAGGGTATGTTCCCTTATCAATGTAATACTTAAATTCAGAGCTGGTCTTCATCAACATCTAGACTGATTATAGGCAGCAAAACTATTGTGCACGCTAACTACACTTCCTGTCGAGTATGAACCTCGGTTAGTTGATAGCTAACAAAGTCTTGGGACATATTCGAAAACTTTTCTCTGTTCTTGCCAACTTGCTTCGCTTGGGAATTAGATATGTCTGTCAACCAAGGGGTATGTTGCACACCCGTCCTATCTGTATTACTCTATGTTTATGAAACATAGTCTGTGAAAGTAGAAGATATATATAGGCTGCAAGTTTCTGACCATACGTTTCTTCGAAGCATTGGCTGCGTATCGTAGAAAAACCGAGTGAGCTGTCATGAGGTTAGACGTACCATACAATATGGTTAATTGTTTGATAAGGTTGTAAGTCTCCATTGGCTGTGAGGTGTATTATATCTCCCCAACCATCATCATATTCAAGACCCTTAGGCATTTCGGCCTCTAAATAGATTGCAAGAAAGCTGGCGGCAGTCAAATTAGGACATAACATTAGTTCATGGGGTCATTGATTGAGAACTTCCCTGGTTGAGACATCAGTTGACGTGGCTAAAATTTGGTTGTATCGGTACAAATCTATTCATTCTTTATCTTTTCGATTTTAAATCTCAACACTTTGAACCTTATGTTCTTCTGTTTCATCCCTTTTCGGAACTCATGTTTGATTGTCTTCACAATCATTGACATTACTATTACCTTGATTCACCTCCCATGTATTTTGCTGGTTTCGTTCCTCTGTGATAATGTGGTGTGTCAAAGTAGGCTGATGCATATTTGTGCCAAGTCTTGACGGGTTTACAGTGCTGTCATCCATTTATTTAGTTGATAGATGACTTTCTACTGCGATCCTATTAGTAAATGCAAATTCTACTTCCAAGCTCACGCATAAACCCACATTTAAAGGAGCGTAAAATGACCCTATTAAATCACCAAAAAATCCCCTTGGCAAGTTTTGGATGTTTACTTCATTGATCAAATGAAGTTAAGGAGTAACACTTCAGATTTTTGACTAGAGAGACGTGTCTTTCATTTGTACGTGGGATCCGATCACTGAGGACTTTAGTATGTCGTCTGAACTACGATTTTCATCGCAGAGTATGAAGTAAAGGTGGTAATTCAGTCTGTATAGTATTGAGGACACACACACAGTTGCCAATAACTGCAAAAATACACTGTTTAACATAGAAGTATGCTAAAATAAAACCGAGTGTTTACATCAGAATGACTCTGGTATGTGAAGTTATTAAATAATATGCTAAATCGTATTAGAAAGTGCAGTTTTCCCAGTAGGGATTTGGGAGAATTGTTATTTTGGGCTGGACTGATGAAGTTGTGTTCATTTTTCGTTCTTCCTTTTAGTCTTAAATAGCGTTGCTTCATATTTCTCATTTTTCGACTACATTGATTCTTTAGACTACCTCTTATTTCTCATCATTCCCACCACTCTTGGTCTTATTAATTTAAATTTTACTTTTACACCTGTCGAGTTCTTCTTGGTATTTTGTGTTTTGCAACCTGGGGTGTGACTAATCTGTAGTATATCCTGTTTTTCTGCCTGTCTACTGAAGTGTTAGAAATTCAAGTCAAAATGTTTGTATTGAAAGTAAGAATTTTGGCTGTTAATATCAGGACTAATAATTAATCTGTCATACATTGTTGTATCATTTTATATCGTAAAATTACAGAAGTTTCTTTTGTTGTTCTTTCGAAGTCTGATTAAAAAACTACATTTTTTCAGCTTTATCCAATGGAAGCTGACAAAGAGCCGTCGATCAACATAGACAATTCAGAAATAGTTGTCCTTAGTTCAGATGATGAAAATGATTCACAGAATTCTCATGACAATATTTCAAATGAAAAACTTTCAAGCAGTGTTATATCTGTCGAAGATGATGATAATAATACTAATAATGACGAGTCTGCCGAAAGCGATTGTGAGATCTTAAATGTTGAAGAGTTGCAAGGTGAAGAGAAGTGGCGTGATATTCATGGTATGTCTATGAAACGCTAATATTTAATTTGCGACATCCAATCACTAATCATTGAAGTGGTTTTTTAATATAAAGTTTAGTGAGGATTGGTTTAAATTTCTCCTATGCTCTTTATCACTAACAGTAGTATACTTCGTTCAGTCACCTCGTATAAATTATCTGGAGTATGTAATGGCATTCGGAGAGTAATCAGATTATTTGGCAAACCATAAATATTACAATCGTAGGAAAGTATATAAACTCAAATCACCACAATTCTCCAGAGCTTAAAAAGAGGATCGACAAGGTTTAAAAAATTAAAGAAAATTATAAATCGAGAGGGGAACGTAATGAACTTGTAATTAATTTTTCATGATCTAAGGAATGAAGGGATAATACATTTACTCTCTTTTAATCAAATCTGATCTATGTATCTATGGCTTTCAACTCCCGACAATAGCTGCTATCTTGACGCGGTGGTCAGGCTTGCCTATCGTGATGACCCGACCGAGATATATTGGCTGGAACATATGTTCCTGTAGGTTCTACCATGCCAGGGAGGTCGATTTGAGGACGGTAAGACTAAAAGCAGCAACTCAAGGTCTGAGGGCAAAGTCGTACTGCTGACTGTAGAGGTGTGAAACAGCAGTAAGGCGTTTCCCTCGGACAACCAGCATCTGCAGCGATGCTGCCTTCTCACAAGGAAGGAAGGGGTTAGAAAAGGTTGACCTTAAAAATGTCACACCTCACCTTACCTCACGGATTTCTGTCTCCGGCGGTAAGGTCCTTTGAAGAACGGAGCTAACACATTAAAAACCTCCCGCAAAAAGGTCGTGCGCAACCGGCTTCAAGCAGTTGTCCCTTGGGCTCTGCGGTCACGCTCCCTGGTCGTTAAGAACAACGGTAATCCGATTTCCTTTTCAGGTTTCTCAAGAAATACCCTTCCACGGTATGGGCAGCCGGGAAGTGATATCAGTCCACATACCTATAACAGCACATGAGACCAAGTTGGTCACATTCAAATACTTCCTACACCTTCTAATATCTCTCTTATTTCCACGACTAACCCTTCTCACGTCCCTTTATCACCTCGCACTGCTAGGGCAAACGATTCGAGTACACTGAACGTTATTCCTGGACTCCTGAAACCACGCTGTAAACGTTCGAAAAATGTGCCAAATAGGACAACAGGCTTCCTTAGATAAAACTTTAGAATCTCGCGCCATCGACGTGTGCTGCGTCTCCGAAACGCGCATACGGGATCCGAGTAGCGTCATTCATTTGACCTCACCATGTCAAAATAAAGGATTAACTCGATTCACGCTTCGTGTGTCTGGAAGCCCTGATGCTGCTTCCCGTGGCCTCGCTGGCTTAGGTATAGCATTAGGTCAGGATTGGGTCGCATCGACACCCGAACTAATGATAGGGAGTGTAGTAATTGAGCGTGTCAACTGCCTCACTTATCTTGAAAGTCTCGTCAGCCCTTGTGGTCTGGTGTGTGACGAAATCTCAGCGCGCATACAGAAGGCTCGACTAGCTTTTGCTAACTTGCGTTATTTATGGTGTAGGCGAGATATCCGTCTACCAACCAAAGGACGTGTTTACTGTGCAGCAGTTCGTTTCGTCCTACTTTATGGCAGTGAAACATGGCCGATAAGAGTAGAGGATATTCGTAGGTTATTAGTATTTGATCATAGGTGTTGTAGTGTCGTTTATTATATTAAGCCCATATACCTTATTCTAGCCTTCGGACAGCCCATTCTGTTCATTCTACTCGAGTCACATTCTGACCTTGTTATTTATTCGCTTATCAATCTTGACTGCTTTTATATGAGCGCATAGGTGTGTGTACATTTCTTATCCCATTACTCATCACGTATTTGTAACTTACTTTTGTGTAACTATAAATATTGATTAACGCTTGGTAAAATGGGAGTTGGCTTACCCGCCATCTCCACTGTGCGTCGTTTTGCTTTGTTCTATTCCATTCGCTCTGTATACGAAATATTTGTATTCAAAAGTTCATTCTCGTTATTTGACTTATTAAATTCCGTTATTGACTAACGCGATTTAAGTCGATGATTATATACGAGGATAGGCGACATATATATTTCAACAACAATCATCATTACAATCTCCTTGGAATCAGAACCCGGGCCACTAAAGTGGAGAGCCTTTTTGACAACATCGTCCGATCTAAATGACGACAAAATTCAAGGGCCCCACAGTGTCTTCGAAACATTACTCTTATATCCTGGGACCTCCGAGTAAGTAACGCAGTTGTTAGGATACGGGTACTAGGTAAGGATGGCAAATCAATTGATGAAGTAGTGAAACTTCATCAGTTGAGATGGCTGGGACACGTGTTACGTATGCCCAACTACCGACTGCCTCGACGTGCGATGTTCAATGGTATAGGAGTAGATTAGAATAAAGCTAGGAGCGGCCAGACCAAAACATGGCACAAGTCCATGAAGTCACTGACAAGTGAACTGAGCCATGTTGGTAGGTGTAGACTACCTGGTTGGGGACTGCGAGATGATAGCGACCGATGGTTAGAGACCTTGAATGACATGGCTCAAAATCGTTTGCAATGGCGCATGTGCATCCACTCTTTGTGTACTTCCAAATTCTAATCTCCTGATTCCTCCTTGTCTCTTCTTTTTCTCTTCCCAAATTTATTTCACTGGATTATACTCCTTGAATAACATCTTCAAACCCTAATCTTTCGGATTACTGTTTATACTCTTACTACCTCTACCACTACGGGATTTGAATCGACAACTGCATCTCTGTGCTAATGTGGTATGGCAACTCGAACTGATGTACGTACGTACGTACTTACGAAGTTCTACGTTGTTACTGACTGACTGGCTTTCAACTACCTTTTTCTTCGTTTAGAACGTCTGTACTTCCACTCAGGGCTTAGAAAAATATTCAATGGCTTTATGGAGTAGTCCTATTTCCTGTCCTTTCTATTTTTAGTTTCCATCAAATAACTAATGTATTTCTTAAGATTTCTTGATTCTATAATCTGTTCATGAAATTGGAAATCGTTGTGCGCTTACAGTTTGTCATTTCTTTAGTCTGAGATAGTTAAAACTATTTTGTTAGGAGTATTTATGCCAAATATGCTTTATTAAAAATTTAACAAAGAATCATTTCTATGATACTATCTAAAAAAGGAGTTAACAACAACAAAAAACTATCGTCTCATATATTAACTTTTTCACTGTAATAATGTTATAGTTACTTGAGTTGACACCATTTCCTTAATTTTCTCCTTCTGAATAATCAAGCCCCATTCGACCTACTTCAGTTTGGTCAGCCGTACAGTATCACTAGTTCAAGAGCCGAACAAAGATACATGTTACTTGATAATTGATCTTCACTTGTAACAACAGAATAGCTTTAAATGATCTTCCGCACGTAAGGTCCTGTTCTTTTTCCTACGCTCGTAACTTCATTTGGAACTCTACCCTTAAACGTACAAAAATTCTTACTGAGAACTTCGAATTTTACAGAAATGTTTTATCATAAGATGTTATGTGGAAAATTTGTTGAAATGAGAGTCGCTAAACTGCCGTTATTTTCCTGTTTTGGATATGTAACCTGTATGTCGTACAGCGTAGAGGCTGCACAAGAACCCAAGCAGAACAGATGGTTCTGCGGTTAGTATTAGTTTTTGGTGACAATTAAATGTGCACCAATTAGTATTCGTAGATAGCTTGTTTAAAACATGTAGTAGGCAATTTATTTTCCTCGTTGATCATTCCTATTATACTTAATTCTATGATTAATTTTTGGTAATAATCGTACGAAAAAGACAAATTAATAGTAGAAGTTGCCATTTCAATTACGTTTCGGGACATAAATCAATTATTTTTTGTTCAAACATTATGGGTTTTTTTCACCTTCACTCTGAATTTATGCGATAAAATTTTATGTTATCAAATGAATTCATTGTCATTTGATGTTTGGTTGGCGTAATATGAACAGGTAGTTTGAATTAGTTACTTACCTCTGTTTTCGATCTCTAATTCATTGATTAATCTAAATTTTACTAAAAGGAGTTAGCATTCCGATTATTGTTTTGTCATGTCAAACCAATTTATTGTTACCAGTATATATATTTTGTGTATATATATCGATATCACCACTATCTTTCTTGATAATGTATGTTATTATCTAAAACTGCAGAGCATAGGATAGGTTTAACGGGAAGGTGACTTATGACACCATAAGTATTTCCTTATATGGAATATGGGCCTGCAGATATCTATCAATGCAATTAGAAGTAACAACACATCACTTCTGTTTGGTTATCAATATTCTCTTCAGATAAAGTGATTTTTTTTCTTGGTGCTGTATTCGGGTCTTTGGAAACACTAGATTCCTGTGTATGATGGGTCCTACGTAGAATAAAACGACATAGATCAAAGTTCTAGCAATTTTACTTCATCTGTTACTTACACTGCATACTTGCGTTCAGAAACGACTGATTTTGAGAAGTCTTAATATCCTTTGCTGAATGTTAAAGTGTTGTTTTACGGTCAACTCTCACTTTTCTGTCTTCACACTAATCCCATTAATGTACGTGTGTAACAAAATAACCATCCAAGTAACAAACTAGATAACTAATGTTATAAATAGAGTTCAAATGTATAGCCAAAATTTACACCAATATATTTTCGTGTATTAGCTAATTCAGGATTAACTGTATCATATAACACTTTAAGAACATTTATGTATCATATGAAAGAGCTTGATTGTTTTAGCTGCTCGGATAGGAAGAATCTATTATTTTAGATCCGTTTATTACATGTCTACGTTTTTTGTTTTAATCTCACATTTTTACTTCCTTCTTCTTTCTCTGCAGTAACTTTAACCAAACTGCCGTTTCAAATACGTATACTTTTAATTTAGTGTTTTTATTGGAATAGGTTTTGTCTATGATTATCATGTTCAGTATTTCTGTAGTAGATTCATCATAATGTTCTATCTAAATTTCTCATTTTCTCTTATTAAATGTAGTGTAAGTACTAATTGTTCCTATTATCTAAATCGCATCAGGTCCTTTCAAGCGGCTGAATAGGCTCATACAAGCTGGCTTTAATGATCCACGGCTATTGTTGGTTCGTGTTTTTGGGATGGATGAAAACTCTTTACCATCTGATCCTAACCAATTATTAAGTTTATTATTGACACTTTTGGCCGAACCTGCTCCACGACGTAGACTGCGCCGTATAAATAGTTTAGAAAAAGTTCTGTCACTTCTGTCTACTTGTACATCAATCCTCGTAATCACTGGTGCTGGGATTTCAGTGTCATGTGGAATTCCTGATTTTCGTTCTCGTGATGGTATCTATGCTCGCTTATCTCGGGATTATCCAGATCTATCAAGTCCACAGGCAATGTTTGACATGTCATATTTCAAACGAAATCCTATTCCTTTCTTTAAATTCGCCAAGGTATGGTTTATTTTTCTAGAAATCCTACTTCACGTAACATTGATAATTAGTGTGATAAAAATCTACTGATTGACATAGATATTGAAATGCTGTAATACTCTACCTTCATAATAAGGGTCATTTTACGAATATGCATTAATTTATTTAAATGGATTATAATTGTTAAAATGATAACATTTAAACAATGTAATTCAATTATCGCTTGTATCTTTCAATCAAACTTAACCAAATGTTACGAATTTTGTTTACTTTGGTGGACTACTAAAATTTAATGAATGAATATCTTCAGATAGTTTTGCGATATTTGTCATTTCTTTTAAATAACCTAAATATTTTTAAAGACATTTTGTCTTTCATAAGGTTTTTTGGTGAGACTATAATTTATGGACGATCTTCGAGCGATGCTGAAGTGACTATGAGAAAATTCGGCCACTTGCTAGCGTCAAAAGAGGGTTATGCATTAATGTTAGGAAATAAGATTAGTATCCAGAGTAAGAAAACAGAGTTAGTAATTAGAGTTGGGGTTTTCATCACAAACTGACATAAGCTATGATGGCAAAATGCTATTTAGTCATATAAATGATTGAATTTTGCTCAAAAATCCTAGACTTGCTATCTTTAATCTCATTGAGTCGTCCGTGGATAATGGTTTCGCTGGTTAGCTCTCATAGCGTTGAGAAAAGTAGATAAATTAGCATTCTTAAATTTTGTCGAATTTTACAATCATTTCTTTTTCACTGCGTCACAAATCGTCCATTTAAATCTCCAACATCTATTAAAGATAAAAAAATGTGCATTATTCGAAGCCTTTTGACTAAATATACTTGCTTGACTTTTTTTCAAGCTGTCAACTAATAACAAGTACAGAACGTTTCCAAATAATATCGACTATTAGAAGTCCTGATGATTTGTAATTCATTCCTGTCATATCAAGTGGGATATGTACACCAAGTTGTTTTACGTTTGTTTAATTTGTTGTGTTATTTTCACCATATATCATTATGAAATAGAACAACTTACGTTTTATGAATGATATGTTTATTTGATTAACTGATCTGATATGTTGATTAGTTTGGACAAAATAGAAGAGTGGTTAATACAATTTAAAGCAAATAAATATTATGTTGCCGTTATCACAGTCTAAATAAAACAGAAAATTGCACTTCTGGAACTCAAATACATTGACGATATCGTTGTACCTTGAGACACAGAACGAAAGACAATTATTCAATATTTTGGGACAGTTACTTTTAAGAAAGAATGTAAACTGACATCTTGAAAATTAAGCTTGTTCATGTAGGGATTTAGTTCATTGGTTTGTAATAGTTAAGAGATTTGTGACTTGCCATTTTTATGGTACACGATTGTTGCAAATATTACAGTACTAGACAATTTTTTGCTACATCATGTGTGATGCTTACATAAAAGAATGGTTATGTTGATTATGTTCATTTTATTTCTTTATCTTTACCGTTGAAAAACTTTAGGAGCTCTTCCCTGGTCAGTTTTCACCCTCGATTACTCACCGGATGATTGCCTTATTGGAGTCCAAAGACAAATTATTGCGTAACTACACACAGAATATCGATACTTTGGAACAGGCTGCTGGAATTACTCGACTTATTCAGTGTCATGGTGTGTAAGGGATTAATTGTTAGGTTTCATGTTTACCATGATATTTCTACTGTATAATATTTCTTTGTCTTCATTTATATGTTTAAACACAATGCGGTAAACGGTCTCGAACAACTTGTTAGACTTTCTGGTCTTCATTACTTTCATGAAGTTTGGACATAGTATTAAAAGAAACGTGGGACAATTTTGTCTGTGAACTTATTACGAAACCAGCCGCTTTTGCAGTATAAGTATTAATTATCGAAGTGAGAGTAGTATTGAACTTTTTGGAGATTCTAGGTGAGTTTTCGTAAGTAATAATTATTAAAAGAAAGAGTTGGTTGAATCAAAGAGAAGCGGAACACAGGGAAGCTGAGTCATTCTAACCAATTTCATGGAAAATCTGTCTCAAAAAAATCAATACTAGAATTTTTCTTATTCTCACCGCTGGCTTGAACACTCGATACTTATATTTTAGTTTACTGCTTTCAACTATAGCTTTATTCCATCGAGAAATTTTTGATGGAGATCGTATTAAATAATAATCTCAATGTATTTGTTTGGAATTCATTTCAAACAGTTGAACTTATGAAAGCAAATATCTAAAATTAATTCTTCGAAAAATTCAAAGGTGATTAACCTGAGAAAGATTATATCAACCTGTCAGTTCGAAGTAGCTAAAGTCGGTTGAAGTGTAAGCCTAGACCATAAACATCCAACTTGATCATCTCTAGAACTTAAAGAATTACTATACAATTAGTCAATATATACAGAGAGAATCAATCTGGAAAGGTAGAGGGTTTACGATAAATCATTTGCTACGCTTAATTTACATGTCTGTGTTTATTTCATAGTTGTCAATCCAAGGTCATTGGGACTAAGTTTACCTGCCAATATAAAGTTTTATCTTTCTCGGCCGATGAAGATCAATATAAGCTTTTATATATATCAGGTGCCATTGTGGTTGTTGTACTATTTTATGTTTTTTTCCTGTCATTTAACATGTTTAAAAATAAGCAATCAGCCCGAATTTTTTAATTCGTCGAATGCAATAATCAGCCGACAGACTGACAACTTATTCAAGTCTATTGTATTAATTCCGTTAAATTGTTCGTAAAATCAGTTGCGACAAAACTATCTGGGTCAGCATTCTGCTCAGTGTTTGAGTTACTATCAAAATCTCGTCAAACTGATCTTCAAAGTCTATTATTCCTAAGGGTTTGGGTTTTCCTATTGGTGATATTCATAACTAAATTTTGACCAATCTCTTTCGGGATATATGCAATCTGAGTGGGTACCTTGATCTTCAACATATTCTTCACACTATCTTAGCTTGTAATTCTGAGACTTTTCATACACATAGTTCCTTTTATCATTTTGAAAAGAGCAAGAACAAACATTCTAGCAGAATAGCATGAATTCATTTTATTTCGTAGGTTCTCATCAGCTGCTTACAACCTGTGATATTTAAAAATCATAATTACATAATGGGTTTAAATTGCTTACTGAATATTGTAAATATATACCTAATGTGAAAGAATATTCTACAACATTAATTGTGACAACAGTTCAAAAGTGGGTTAGGAACAATTGATTACATAATGAATGAACATTAATAGGAATATAGTAAGTAGAGTTCAGTTGAATGATTATTAATTTGAAAGATAGTTTAAAAAAATAAAATAAAATCAATGATGTAATAAATACCAAAGAAAAAGGAAAAAAAATTTAAGGTGCAGTGAAAGAATATTTGTCACCAAGGCAAGCAAAGATTAACCACCGTCTCCTTTTGAATACATAAGTCAGGTTTTTGACGCCTGATGGCATCGGCTTCTGCAAACTTCAGAAGACTGAAGTTTGGCTGCTTACTAATCACCCTAAAGGATTGTAAGGTATCTACCTGACATATTCAATAAGCAATTTAAACCCATTATGTAATTATGATTTTTAAATATCACAGGTTGTAAGCAGCTGACGAGAACCTACGAAATAAAATGCATTCATGCTATTCTGCTAGAATCTTTGTTCTTGCTCTTTTCAATTCTGAGATTTGTTCCATTGGTTTATATTCCTCACTGTTACTTACAGTAAATATTACGTTTCATATACGACCTCAGTATGTTTGGACAACTTGAAGCTGATTGTCTATACATCTTTTTCTTTAAGTAGAACAAGGCTCTAATTTCAGTCATTACACACTCTCAATGTTAATATCTTTTGTTTTCATACACATAGTTCCCTTTATCATTTTGAAAAGAGCAAGAACAAACATTCTAGCAGAATAGCATGAATTCATTTTTTATTTCGTAGGTTCTCGTCAGCTGCTTACAACCTGTGATATTTAAAATCATAATTAATGGGTTTAAATTACTTACATAAAAGAGTTTGATTGGAAGTTATATTAAAGACATATTCATATAGTATAGCAAGGATGTAAATAAATTTAATAGACTGAATATTGTAAATATATACCTTATGTGATGAAAGAACATTGTGACAACAGTGCAAACGGTTAGAAACAAATAAACCTTTATAGGAATAAAATGAGTAGAGTTCAGTTGATAAAATAAGATAGTTGGAATAAAACTCAATGGTGTAATAAATGCAAGAAAGAGTTTAAAGAAAAAGAAAAAAAGATTATTAAGATATAACGAAGGAATATTAATCACCAAGGCAAGGAAAAATTAATAACCATCTCCTTTTGAACACATAAATCAGGCTTTTGGCGCCTGATAGCAACTGCTTCGGCAAACTTCAGAAGATTGGAGTTTGGCTGAATTCGATTTTTGCAGTTTTCTAATACTCTCCACTTTTTCATTTATTGATCTATCAATCAATCAATCAGAAAAAGCTTAGAAACGTATTGATGTTAATGGTCATTAATTATTATTGTTTTTCATTTGTTACACCTTGATCACCATTAAAAAAGAATGAATATATATATATATATATATATATATATATATTGTTTTGTTTTAATTAAACAGAAATACATAACTTTCATATTTACCATATCTATTTGTCATTGTTTATAATTTTTAATATTGAAATTTGTTGTTTTCTATTTTATGAATGAAAATAGTTTCTAATTATGAATTAAATTTCTATTATAATGATATTTTTCAATCATTATTATTGTTTTCTTTAACTTATATCAATTAATGATTATTGATTTATTGATTTATCACATTATTAGGTTCATTTGCATCAGCCACTTGTACAAACTGTAAACTAAAAGTTTCATCTGATTTTATTAAAGAGGCTATTTTTAATCAATCTATACCACGATGTACAAATTGTTGGCCGTCAAAAATCGATTCATCATCATTATTACCAGATGAAATGAATGATTCGGAGTCTACAAATCATTCATCTGATTTATCTACTGTAGAAGAAAATCCTAATAATAATAATAGTAATAATAATAATAATAGTAATATGTCAGTTGATACATCTCCAAAAGTTAAATCGAAACGAACTAATAAATCTCGACGTAGACTAGCTTCATATGGTGTATTAAAACCGGATATCGTGTTTTTTGGTGAAGGTTTATCAAATGAATTTCATGACTCTCTTTCCAATGATATAAAACAGACGGATCTAGTTTTAGTTATTGGATCATCGTTAAAAGTTCGACCTGTCTCTCATATTCCTAGTAAGTATTATTGTTTTATTTTCGCTATGAAATTGATTATTATTTCCTTCACAAAGACTACTTAAATAGATTTACTTGACTCCAGAAATAAATTCAAATGACATACATGATGTACATAACTTTTTATGTGATTTATGTACGGTCAGATTAACTACCAGGTTTATTTAATTTTTCTGAGTAGTATTTAACATCAATTAATCAGTAACTTATTATATGAATACATATTTACTGTATCATGCTTATCAATTTTTACACTGACTGACTTTTTCTATTTCTGATTCCGTTATATCATCTCTTGAAACCGTTAGAATAGGTGCACATAACTCTCCCTCTCTTGAAGAATGTGTAACCTTCAGGGAGTAATGATCAACATCTTGTAGCTCTGCTCATCATCTGATTGACACAACTGAACGTTAAAACTGGATGATTATAAGTTAATATGAATTTATAAGATATTTTATTGCCAATATGATTGAAAAGTAATACAACATTTAGGGTTGATAATATGACTACTAAATTGATAAATACCTTTAAATAGTACACCAATAGATCCGATAACTTCATTATCACGGTTAGCAATATCTTGCATGACATTTGAGATTTCATCGTGTGCTGGATTTGGGTCTAAATGTGACTTGACTATGTTGCTGGTCATTAATTTGGCTGACAGTCACCCTGAATCGGACTGGACAGTATCGAAGCGAACTTCTCCAACTTTTCCATTATTATCTTCTGAGATGCTTCGAATAGCTACTTTTTCCACTTCAAAATGGATTGGAGCTCCTCTGTTAATATTGATATTATTAATCTATTTCCCCATAGCTACTGTTATGTTTGTTACAAAGACTGTTGATATGGATTTATTTGTCCCCGGAAGTAGATCAATTTGATATATCCGTACACTACTTTCTATATGATCCATGTAAAGTGATGTGATTGTAAATTACTACTGCCATTCGAAACTTAATGGTTATACTTCTCTGCGACTTTATGCGTTGTCGTATAAAAATCCATTTCATATTTCCTACAAGATCATTTACATTATTATATTATATTTTTCCTGACACAATTGTATTAGCTTTGTAAACACAATAGCTACTTGGTGGACCATAATCTACAACTATTGTGTTTATGGGTTAGCTATTATGGCTACCTATTCTAAACTATGTAGGGTGTGTAGTTTTGAACCTGAGTGATAATTAATCCACCTAAACCCTTAATTAGATCATACCTTCACAATTTCTTTTAACTTCTTTCAACACTATTAGCTGCCACCCGTTTTCCATTTTCGACTTGATTGTTATCAGATTTTGCAATTTTAATTTAATATCTCAAAAATATTAACTCTGAAACATGGGACCAATGGATAGTGTAGTGCTGTGCCTATTCATGACTCTATTCACTAGCTTGAAATTAGTTTAAAGATAAGTACAGTATAAGATGCACAAATTAGTTGCTTCATGCTATTTTGAAAACCTTCAAGATTACTTTCGTACTGAATTTTTCTAGCACTTCTTAATGTTTCGAGATCTAACTTACTCCCTCCTTCAAACCCATTTTATCTCTTTTTTTTCCAACACAGATGCTGTTCCTAGACAAGTTCCACAAATACTTATTAATAGAGAACCTTTATCTAATCATGATTTCGATGTTGAATTGCTTGGAGATTGTGATATCATTGTCAGCGAATTATGCCATCGATTGGGTTGGGAAGTTTCCGGATTATCAGACTATACACCTCTTACTGAAATTCCCTTAAATTCGCTAAAAAATACAACTGAACCACTAAAATCTGATGAAAAATCTCCAAATATATCTCATCTCATTGCTCAGGACACAGTGTCTTCGGACTTAGTGAACAATCAATCCCAAATTAATAATTCAGAAGTTGATGGAAAGACTTGTACCTCTACTGTTGTTTCTACGTCTGATAATTCTTCAGAGGTGATTAATAAGAATTCTCCGAATGATGCAGTAATTGAAGTTAGTGAAGATGAGGAAGATGGAGAGTGTGTTTGGGAGGTAGCGTCAAGTTTACCACGTAAGTAGTCTATCATTTTAATATATAACTATTACAAAAATATTTTTAACCTTCTGTTGAAAAAATACTATTACAATTTTTAGATATATTTTCTAACCGGTATATTTTTGCATCCTTTTTTTATTGTAGTAATTTCACTGTTGTCGTATAAAAATCTAATTACATAGTATCCATGGTAAAGTAAATAAGATATTGGCATTTAAACTATTTAAAGAATGGACTAATTACATTTTTTGAATATAAAATGCACTCATTATCTGAATAGTCAATAGAAGCACCTTCTCTTTTAAGCTAAATAACATAGATGGTCCCTTTTACGATTGGTAGTTATATTTTCTCATTGTTATTGTTAAATCATCGTATAGAGTTATTTTGTAAAGCGCAAAAGCAGTAATCTGGGCTCACACTGGGGTGTACTTGGGTTTGTTTGTGATCTATTTTGTAAAAAAATGGTATCAGTCATCCGATTCCCTGAAAATCAGAAGTTGAGGGTTTGGTATTTTGGATATTCGAATTCCAATTACAGAGTTGTGAGCTCAAATCAGTCATTTCGCATGGAGCAAGTATATGTAATCACAACTGAGTGAATATGGTTCTAAAATAAGGAATATAACAATAGAATAAGATTGTGACATCTACTATGATGAAGTTAATTGAAAAAATGTAGATAGTGGATAGCCCTGTTGAGCGATTCGTCAAGTTGTTGATTCCGATGATAGTTTGCTGTAAGATGTAATTCGATCAGGTGTTCAAGTAAAAAGTCTATAGAAGGTGTATACTTTTTTTGGGACACCTCCCAATAACAAACACTAACAATGCTTCTGAGTTGATGGAATCAACTGCTAGTTACAGTTGAATGTTAGTATGTGTTTTAAAGCCTGTCGAAGAACAAAGATTCGATGATTACATCCACGGCTAGGTATGGAACCAGTCTCATACCCATTTTTGTACTGTATTACGATTCTTTCGTAAACAAATCCTAATGACTCAAATTTATTATAATAGGAGCCAGTTATATTCTAAAAATACGCGATTCCTATTCTAAAGATGAAAAAACAATCTTTTTTTAATGAGCGGAAGCCATACTACTTTTTTTCGTGGAAAAAGAATTTTCATTACATAAATTTCTTCTTTTGACACTTTCCAGTATTTCTCCACTAATAAGCGACCAATAACTTACCTGTGGTTATTTCCCGCGAATGTTTATGCGGTGTTCTTAAATACACTTCACCTTTTCAAATTGCTTTGAATCGTCCTCGTCCTTTTTATTTGTTGGTATGAATGGGGGTAGTAATTAGATTGCGATGTATGTTCCTAACCTGTTATATAAATATCGCCCTTTTTGTCAATAAGTGAACTTCATCTTTTTAATTCGAATTCCTGAACATTTCCATCCACCCGGCTATCGAGTTGTGATTGTTAAACAAGCAATGTTTAGGATGTAACATATATCAACATTAATGAGTCCTTGTATGACATTCATCAATTAACAAAGGTTGCTTATTATGATTATTGTCAAAGTTTTAATATTTTAATTTAATGTTTTGTGGATGTTAACTTAATTTATTGCTGGTGTTGATGTCATTTAGGAGGTGGTGACTTGGATAACGATGGTTTAATAATTAAAGAGTTGAATTCCAACTAATGGGTCTCATTTCCGAGTTCCTCTCTACATACTTCGGCTTGAGAAGCCGGGTAATGTCACCACCTCCCACACACAGTTTGTAGCTCAAAGCTGAGTACGTAAATCTGTAGTTAGTCAGTGAGTTACATGCATTTACTGAGAACGGAAGAGAGCCGAACGGTTGTCTCATCCCAGTACGAAATTCATAAATACTGTGCCGTTGACACTGATCGGACCCATGGGCTTCAAATCCCACATTGAATGTGTTACCTTTAGGCCACTAAATTAGGATCCAATGGTACCCTAATTAAGGTGTCAATCTGTAATGTATTCTATCTCCAAACATAATAATATCAATTCTCACTGTTTTAATTAATTAATCTTACATGTTTTTTAAAATTTTTTTAGCTGGAACATTTACTCGTATTTATCCAAATCAGTATGTTTTCCCTGGTGCTGAAATATATTTAGACAGTAAACCCGGTGAAGTAACGATCTCATGTAATGCCTCAGATATCTCTATTACGTCGAATGCATCATCAGCATCGTCTACTTCCGGTCATAATGATGACTTAGATCAGATAAGAGATTCACTTAAAGATGAATCTGTTTCCATTGATATAACTGAAAAAGAAGAGTCCAGTATTCATTCATCTGATTCGCGTAAATCTTTAAAACGGCATAATTCCAATGAGAATCTGTCTTTGAATAAACAATCATCGTTAAAACAACCTCGATCTATGTAAAGAAAATGACTAAAAAAAAGTAAAAGTAAACTGGAAGACATGAAAATCATTCAGTAAAGAAGTAGAAAAGAAAACAATTAACATGAATCTCATTAAAACAAAGACGACAACAAAAAGCTTTTTAGCTATTTTTAGTATTTTTCGTCTCATCCCATTGTTGCTTATATCCATAAATTTTTGTGTAAATAGGAAATATATATATATATATATCACATATTTTGTGTGTTTATTTTTATTCTTTACCGATATATGTGTGTATATCCTTCTTTTTTTCAATGGAACATTTCGTGACTACCTGTTTATGACCACTTTTCATTGAGTTAAATTAATTCACACATTGTTAATATAGATTCTGTAAAGAAAAAGGAGGAACGAAGATTATAATGATAATTATTATCAGTGTTTCCTTTCAAACACATTTCCATGTATGTTTCTCACTTATTTTACTTGAAAAAAAATTCTTCCCTCTTTTCTTCCCCACTTATTATTAATTTATTCATGATGAATTTTGAACATGTTTTTCTATGCATTTGTTGTACACTATAAACTTATTTTCTCGGTTATTGTTTTACAAACAATTATTATATTAACAAGTTCTTAAGAGATAAATATTGCTTTTTTTAAAAAAATTAATGGAACAATATGTCATCGTTTAGCAATCTATGCATATGTTATTCACGTAAAACTAATCGCGAAATACACTTGATATTGTTTGGCTTGTATCTTCCCGTTGAGGTTTAAGACTGCAATTGATTAGTCTGTTATTGGCATATGTGCATACTGTGCGTATGCCTCGATATTACCTTAATTCACAAGCTATTTGTAAGCAATGATGGATAGTGGCTAGCAGTGGAATCCAGGACGCGCGTTTCGTCCTATTTGGGACTCGTCAGCTGGATGTACCTGCATCTCAGAGTTGATTTTCAATCTGGGACTCGAACGCAGTACCATTCGCTTCAAATGCCATCGCGTTATCCACTCAGCTACTGAATCCTGATAGCCACTTGCTTGTGCCGTGGGATCGTGAAATAGTTTACATGCGTTGTATCATATTCTAATTAGTATAGGAGTATGTGGAGATTGTTGAATTTTCATAGATTACATCGTAGATTGATCTTAGATAACTATAGAAAACCAAGAAGCACTGGACATCTGTTTATTTTTTTGGGTATGGGGCTACTCGGCAATGTACATCAAACCGAGGATGGAATCTAGGATCTTCGGTTTCACGAGTGCTTGACCTCTAGATCGTTAAACAGTCATTCATTAGTGTATGTGTCTAACTTATCACGATTTGATGTATTGGAAAAACAAAAGGACTGTGGTTTAAATTTGTTGTTCAAGCCTTCTCCCACATAATTATACAGTTTTTAACGCTTTTTACTCTTCAAACTGGTCGTCCAATAATATTGGTAATTTTAAAAATGATAGAATAGTTTAATATTGTTTTGAGATGGACATAAAAGCCAATAACATGTGTACTGATTACCTTCTTAATAACAATGGACTCCAGTAATCACTAATACGGATTTAAGTTTAAACGTGGTTATGATCAGAGATTATTCTATAGTATCAGGATACTATATCATCATTTATTTCGGAGGAAGAAGTGTCCACGTAGATATTTGGAGCAAATATTTCGATAATACTTGAACTAACCACTATTTCAAAATATTCATTGTCATACACTCAAAATTTGTCGTTAGGGCTAAGCGAAATAGTTGTTTTTAAGTCTGATAAATTAAGGATTTCATGCCTCTTTACCTTATAATGTGATAAATTTCTGAATCCTTTAGTATTTAAACATGTCCCGACCCACGATGTCTTGGGCAACTGGATTGTGTCTATTACTGTGACACAGTCTACAGTTCGGCACTTAGATTTATTATATAACTACTGTCCAGTTTTGTTTATACTAGGTATAGTACAGATGGAAGATTATTGGATTCGAATCTCCATTTACTTATATTTCAGATGTCATATTACTAGATATTTCCAAATCTTTATGCATAATTATTTCTAATATCATCGCAGCATTTCTCCCAAAGGTACTTGTAGTAGTAATCATGCTTGTAACTTGTTACCATAAACATTTCTTAATTATTCACAGTTTCAATAATATCCTTCTAAAGTCAAGTTTTATTGTCAAATTTATTTAAAGTTAGTGTACTTTTCGATGTTGTTGATTACCCACCTATATGATAATGATGTTGAGTTTAAACTTCAATTTGAAACGGGAACTTCTCTACTGATTTCTTTTACAATAAAATAGGTAGATCTTAATAAAAAGTAATTTGTTTAAGGTAGTCACAACAAGAATTAAGTGAGCCTGTATGGGTAATAATATATAGCGCAAATGTGTATTGTGTCATTTTGGTGGGGTTTCGTTCTTTGAGCTGGAAGACGAAACTTCACCAAAATCGTCTATTTGAACTACAAATTTTTACCATCTCATGTATTGACTCAGGTCGTCGTATTATGTACAATGAAAGAGAATTACCAAAATAAAAAAGAAAAGAAATAGGAAAATAACCTAATCTGATTTGTGAGAAAACGGATCATGATATTTATTCTCTGAATGGAAGCTAATTTGGCCATTTTGTAATGATTTCTTTCAAAAATTAAAATAGTCATGATGAGATTTAATTCACATGATAACTATAAAAGTGTTGTGAATTCACGACTACTTTGAAGATGTCTATATGCTACCATTACAATGCATCACATCCTATTTATTTAGATAAAAATATGTCAACGACATACGAATTGATTCATTTTCAGAATATGAACATAGTAACCAGTTCACTCCAATCCTTAAAGATAATTATCCTCTTCTAGGCGATTATAATTTTCCAGTAATCCAACCATATCGTTCCTCAGAAACAATCAATATTTAAAATCCGTTGATGTAAAGTGATTGAAAGCATGTGAGAGAAACCCTATGTGGATCCATGTTTCACGTGAGTTAGCGAAACCGACTAGTTAGTTGCCTTTCGCTTTTACAAAATACTATTTACAAGTACGGAAAACTAGAAATAATCGTTAAGTTGAATTCAAGCTTACACTCTACTTTCCAATAATCTATCGGTGTAAAACTTTGTTCATGAACAATCTCCTCTTAGAAAGATTACTTCCAAGAAAAAAAATCTATAGACATCATTAATATAGATGTATTTCTATTTTCATATAAACTGACAATGAATAATAACACTAAGAGAACTTTTTTTTACAACAGAAATTGAATGATACAAGCGTATGAAGGAATCTCGGAAAACACATAAAGATAATGAGAAATACAGAATAACTAAATAGTTCATCACACAAATAAAAAGAGATAAATAAAAGAGCACAAGATAAAATATTCATAAGAACAAATAAAATAACAAAAATTAACTTGAATTCGTAAGTAGATACAATGAAAGTTATTAGCACAAAAATAATGGCAGCTGTATGTTAATTAATATAATATTAGAATTAATAAAGACAAATATGACAACAACGCTGTTTGATTGATCTAACCACTGCCCATTCACCGCATACCGCCTCTTTGACCTATTCATTCAATTGATTAAATAATTAACCCATTCCCAATAATAAAATACATAAAATCTAGAAATCACTTTTGTAGACACTTTTTTTTAAAAACGATATGTAAATGTTTTTTGCAATTGTTGTTGCTACGTCATTCGGAACAAAGAGTGTAAAAGAAGAAATTGAAGTGAACTTTTAGATATTTAATAAAATTATATGAAGAAAAAAAAAGGGCGTTTGTTGCATAAAGACAATTTTTCAAGTGCACATATCTAATATTCTTATTTATTTATACAATAAGTAAGTAGATTTTATCTTCAAATCTGTGATGTGTAAAGCAAAATAAATAAAAAAGGAGGAAGAAAAAAGAAAAAAAAGAATAATACAACACACAATAAATAATAAACTTTACTTTCAATAAAATAAATGATAATGTGATGAAATAAAAGAAAACAAATTCGAAAATAAATTAACGAAAGTAACCATTTTTAAGTGGTTAAAGTGAATTTTGATATACACATTTAGTTGGATTAAAATAAACAACTAATAAACAGTTTTTCACATAGATCTATTATTATTATCATTTGTGATGTCAGCATCCGCGGTAACGTCGATTAATTCTGTCGACTGTTGATAGTTTGAATTGTCAGCGTTTAAATTAGTTTGTAATAAAGGAATTTTAGATTTTGATAACATATCTATACGTGAATTATTACCAGTTGAACCGGGCATAGTTACAGAATCTTTATTTGTTTTCGTATTGGATTGAATTAAATTAGGATCAGTTGGTAATGAATCATTTCTAGGTGAGGATGTAGAAAGTTGAGATTTAGACATTGTTTTACTTATTTGAGGTAAATGTTCAGATTGAATGACACCTATAAAAGTATTGACAAAAAAACATTTAAAAAAAAATGAAACAGTTCAGTACAACTTTTGATAATAAAAACTCAATAAATCAGTCGAACATAGTTAACTTAGCACCTGGTATCAATTGACATCAATTCCAATACCTACACCACAACAACAAGAATAAAGAATATGGAATAGAAGCTATAGAATTTAGTAAACAGTTACTAGATAAATGCAGTCAAGACTTTGTTATAAATATTGTATCTACAATATGAACTAAATGAGATCCAAGCTAATCAACAAAATTTATGCAATCTCATTTTGACATTAATAAACTACCTTTAATATGATAAAATTATGATTTATCCAATTCTGAAGTAAAATATCACTGATACTAATCATCTTCTTACAGATGAGTACAAAAAGAAATTCAAATGTCAAATAATTACTATTGTAAATTCATATATTAATTACATTGTCCAATTAATGATTCGTTTGATTAAAACCAATTTTTCTTTCAACAATTTTCTGTTAAATCATATCAATTTTTAGCTTGTAGAATATTTTAGACAGTGATCATCCAATAACTACACCACCACAACAATTAGTGATCATAAACATTTAGTCTATTGAATAATAATATACAGTTAGTTTCTCTTTTTAATCATTTAAAATTGTTTAACTGAAATTAAACCATATAGTAATCTCATTGATTTCAACCATTTAACTAAGATATTCTTCGAGACCTTGGGTACATTTGAATTATGCATAAACTACTTATTCATCAGTAACTAAAGACAAGAAATCAATATAAGAATATTTGTCAAAATGAGAAAGAATAGTTCGACAGAAATTGGTTGCCGAGTATAGAGAAGACATTTGATGTACATAATTTTCAGATAAGAACTCAGTAGTCTAATATATATTGCTTTGAAGTCCAGAGTAATACATTCTTGCCTGAAATTTTCCATTGGAACCCTTATATCTAATAATTTACATGTGTTTCCAACTGGAAAGTTTTCAAGTAGATAAATCGACTATCCAGGATTAATTACATTGTAATTCATTTACAACATTCTAAATTACATAATAAATAAAGAATAATATGTTAGGGATGCAGAGGAATATACCAATAATTATCGTGTTAAGTCTAATGGTGTCCTTGGACGTTAAATGGAAATTTCGATTGGTCAATATTCATTTTACCTGTCAAATATTGTACAAATGTTGTTTTCTATTTTATGGTACGATGTGGTCTGGTTAGTTGGTATATAAATAGAGTATGTCTGAAATATAATGATTCATATCTCAGAGGCTGTGACTTGCGTTCTGGACTCAACTGGCTGGGCTAGACAGGAAAGCGGGACTAATCAGAACTCTAGGCCGTTCACTACGTGTTTTACGTGTCACTGGATCGATCAATAATACGCTGTGCATCTAACCTACAGTCCACACGTTACAACATAATACTAACGAAATTTATAAGTTAACAGTTAGGTAATCAAAATTTAGTTTCAGTGGTATATTTAACATTTTTAGGATAATGTGTGAGTAATAATTTTTTCCGTAAAAAGCTCTTCATATGAATCAATATCAACTGAAAATGTATTGTATTCACTACTTAAGACGTGCTAGTAGTATTCATCTTTTGATTCTGATCAAATACTACTACTACTACTACTTCTATTACTAAATACAATCGACATGTATCTCAGTCATTACACTGTAATTAAGCCAATGATGAGATTGTATGACGATTTCATTAAACTACATTTATAAACTGATTTATTAAATTTTATTTTCCTGTCTTAACAGTATTATGATCAAAGATGGTTGATGAATAGCAGTGGAATTCAGGACGCGGGTTTCGCCATATTTAGTATTCGTCAGCTAGATGTTCATCACGTGTGAGCTGAAAGTTTTGATTTTGATTTCATAATTGAGTACTGTTGAGTAGTTACGACCTATTTAGTGTTATTTAGCTTTCATATGATTTATATTTGTAATAAAGACTACATACATACCAGATTGTTTGCTATTGAATTCTTTGGAAAATGTTGGTGTTGTGTTACTTATGGAAGGTATACAAATTGCTGAAGCACGCCTTTGATGTAAATTATCATCTACACTTTTTTCATAAATTGTTTCACCATGCATACTATTTCTATGAGGTTGAGATAATGAAGCAGCAGAATGACGAGATGGTATTATCGCCTGTCGGTCATGACGATACTTAATATTATTACTATTAGCATTAGTGTTATCAGTGATAGTATTATCATTTTCATCGTTATTTTTAACTACATTAAAATCATGATTTGATGTAGGTAATGATGCATATGAACTGGCTGACGTTGTACTATATTGTGATGTTGGTGATGATCGTAGACGATGGGCGAAGGAAGAGGATTTACGCTGAAGCGTTGTCAATATAGGTGTGATTGGTGCGATTGCACAATCAGATGAACTGTGTAAATCTTCATTAAAATCACCAATCGGTTTCCATTGAGGAGCTAATTTTGTTTAACAAGAGAAAAAAGACAAAAATTAGGGAAAAATAAGGGACAAGTGAAAACACAAGCGATTATTTTATGCTCTGACATCAAAACATAGGTATAAGGGGTTTGTGGAGGTAGTTGAATTTTCACAGTTTATATCATGGACTGATCTTAGATAACCATTGAAAATTGAGAAGCAGTTCAACTGAGGATGGAACTCAGGAACTTCAATTTCACGACTAGTGCCTGACCTCTAGATCATTTAACAGTTACTCGATGGTGTATATGTCTAACTTCAATCAATTCATGATATTGTGCGATAATCAACCGCTGCCATTGGCGCATAACCGTCTGGTGCTTCTTGGCTTTCAATGATTATCTAACTAAGATCAGTCTGTTATTAAAACTATGAAAATAAAATATAGACCAAATAGTTATCGATGTCTGTTACGATGAACGCATATATATATATATATATATATATATATATATATATATATATATATATATATATATATATATAAAGTTGTGGAGTTCTATTTTGAAAATGCTATTTTTATATTCTGAAACTAATTGGAGTATCAGTGAAAACTATAGAACATTCAGTATGGACAAATGATCTTGACAAGGGTCAACCCTATGATCTTTAGGTCTCCCAGCGGGTGTATCACCAATAGACTGGTGAGTTGATGAGCGTTGGTTAATATTTTTAATTTGTGATATGGTAGGACATGTATTCACTGTGTTTGATAGTTCTTATTTCACTTCCTACAATGTCTCAGTGGAGCACCAAGAATTCCTCTTTATTAGCCACCAGAGATATACTGTTGATAGGGTGGGAAGTTAGTGAAGACTGGATCATATTACAAAACTACTCAATGGTATGACTAATAGTCCAAGTAGACCAATATCAGACAGTTGAATGTTAGATTAAAAGCAGTTGGTAGAAAGTTCTAGACCTAGGTTACTTGATAATTGACCCCTATCTGCAAAACTTAACTGCTCATTTTGATGGAACATATGTTCTTTCTAGTATTTGAACTCGTGAAACACAGTTTGATAGTCAAATATTTTGATACGTGTGATGAGTGTTTAAAACTAAAGATGAAGGAAATCAGTTTTCTCTCAGGATTACTAATAAACTCTATTAACAAGTGTTAACTGTCATGAACTTTAGACTCAAGGCATCCTGATGACCGCTTTTAGTAACTTTGTAGTAAACATAGTATACAATTTCTAGAAATAATTCCTATACTTCAATCATATCCCATTATCATTTAAATATGCAGTGAATAAAATTCCTGTTGCAACCCTCAGTCTGTGATGTTAAAATTGACATTTCAGAAAAGGAGTACATTATAAAGTGTACAGAATTAGAGGGTAATTATGATCAATAAAATTCGTGGATATTAAACATCAGAATAAGGTCTCAATCACTTCAGTTTGATTTTATATACAGTATAAACCAAGAATTTTAATTCAGCCAGTTGGATTTTCGAATTAGTTGAATCCCACTAATCAACCTTCACAAATGACCTATATCAAGAAAGTAATCGAATATTTTATAACTTTTTGATTGAGATGATGAATCGATCAATGTTAGACTACCAGATTAAGATAAATAAAATCATACAGTTTTAGTGAAAGAAATTTTTGGTTACTGAATACTGTTTATTTCGGTTAAAATTTTTTTTACTATTTTGGTGTCATTTTTTCCATACAGAAAAGTCGATTTTATTTCCGAACATATTTCCTCAGTTGGTTAGTGGTTTAGATTTCGTTTGAGATAAGATAGTCAATTGTATGACCAAATTATCAGTTCGACTACTTCGATCATTCTAGCACTTATTCAACTAATTATTTAGTGACAATAAAAGTTCAATAACTAGTGTTAAATTATTTATATGATTGTAGGTCAACTGATAAAATTGGTTAATTCATTATCTGGTTGTGACCTGATTTTCTATATTGACATTGATTATTTACATAGTACACAATGATAGAGATTAGGACTATTTGAATGATTATACACTCACATGATCCAATAATTATCTTTACTGTAGATTATCATAAGTGAATTTCAAGGAATTACTGTGTTTACAAAGTGAAGCAGAATGAATTTGAACTATAGATTCATAAACACAGATTTTCATAATGTTTTTGATCGAGATCATGAATTGATCAATGTTAGATCACCACTGAAAACCTGGAATCCCTCGACGGCCATTTCGTCCCAGCAGGGAACTCCTCAACAGTATGCATCCACGATATTGCACACAGAATTCAAACTTAAGACCTTCGGTCTCGTGCACGAACACCTAACCTCTAGATCAGTGAGCCGGCGTCCAACAGTGTATTTAATGAGATAATACATTAGTAACGAATAATCAAGTCAAAATACCATTTACCAGTCAGTTTCTGAAAATCTTTAATGTTAATTTGTCTTTAATGATAACTGAATGCTATCGATTTGGTTGTATAAACTTAAGTGAGGTCACTATAATTATTCACCACTTTCATGATGATTTATTAGGAATAGTCTGGACGGGGGGTATCCAATTGGGGATTTGTAATGTATTGCAGTTATATGCTTTGCTGTTGGATATCAATTAATATAAAACTAAAATTCGGTGGCTTTTACCAAGGATTAATTTTCAAGAAGTTAATGTAGTATGAATTCTTTCTTCAGTCTAAATAGGACGAAAAGACTTCTTATATAACTTGAATTCTAAGTATGGTTTCCAATACTATGTACCGTTAGTGGTAAAACACACCAAATAATGTTCAAACCATAGATATCGATTTAATGGCTCATTATCGTTCCAAATCAGTAATTATATTCTTAAAAATATGCGTAACATCAATAAAAGTACAGGTCTAAAATATTTAATTACTATTTCATACCAGTAAATAAATATCAAGTTATGATAAATATATGTTTTTAATGTAAATCATGAACTGATCTCAGCTAGAACACCGTTGAAAATCTGAAAGCATTGGACTGTCGTTTCGTCCTATTATGAGACTCCTCAGAGATGGCGATCCAAGATATCCCAGGACCATAGGTCTCACTTGTGAACGCTTAACCTCTAGACCAGAGAGCCAGCATCGAGATTTAAACTATGAAAATCCTATAATCTCTACAAACCCTCTTATACATTCTTGATTCGTAAGGTAAGGTTGATACATCTTTAAGAAAGTACGTTGCATAATATAATCGTACTAATATATATATGCATAGCAACTACAACTTAATTGTGTACGACCACGTTAAAACAGCATGCATGATATATAAAAACAAATATCAAGTGCATTGAAACAAATGTGTTGAATAAATTTGATGGGCTTCACAACAACAACAGAACGATCACAACATACTTTAACAACAAACATTATTATGATAATGACGATAGTGCTTTAAATTATGACAGTGATGATGGTAATATTTAAGCATTTCACTTAAAAATTATTAACAACATGTAGCACAATACAATATCAAACAGTAATTATGATGCATGCTTACTGGATCATAATAACAAATTTAAATATAGATGACTAGATTCCATTTGATCAAAGTAAAGACAATAATTACTCCAGTGTTGGCCAATGTAAAGAACGTCATGAATGTTAAGTTAAATTACAAAGAAAACATTTTATATATTTAAAGAATTGATAACTAAATAACTTTTAAGAATTTTAGAAGTTGGTTTTGTGTAAAATGAAGAAATAACGTATAAAGTGTGAATATATGCATATATATAAATGTATATTTATGAATGTATGTAGTTTGTAGTTGACATTGTTTATTAAGAAGTTTAGATTATTTTCTAGTATGTAATGATTGATGTTTCTTTCCTAGTGTATGAGAATTAGTGGTATTATTATTATTATTATAACTACAGTTATTATGATTTGCTGGATTAGGCTTTGTACTAGGCATAACTAAATAAAATGCATTATCTTGTCCAGGACCATTCATCATTAATTGATATAAATTATGAGTATCATTACGTGAACGTTTATGAACAGTTTTTAAACGTGATGAACTAGATAAAGATGATTCAGAAGATTTAATTATAGAATTTTTAGTCGTTGTATTCGATATAAGATAATCAGTAATCTGTTTACCATCATGACAACTACTACTGTGACCACTTTCACTACAGCTACTTGTTGAACTAATCCCTGGATGATTATATTTATAATTATTACTACTATTATTTAAGTTGTTTCGATGATTTGATTTTATTGTTGAAGATGAATGTTGAAAAGTAACAGATGAAGGAAACCAGTATGAACCGTGACCAACACCGGCTGCTTTAGCTAAATCTGCTATACTAGTTAAGCGTTCACAGGCATCTAAAAAATAAATATGCGTGTGTATATGTGCATGCATAATGGATCAGAATGTGCACATATTGTAGTGAATAGAATCATACACATGGAAATATGCATGCAATAGAAAAATTGAGATTCCATATGCGAAATTCATATACATATACGATTTTATGTGTACAATAAAAAGAGAGAAATGTGTCAAATGGACAGGATAATATAAATGAAAAACATAGGAGAAAAGCAAAAGAAAAAAGTTCATATAATAAGAAGCAATAAACAATATGAAATATATACAATATTTAACTATTTGAAATTATTTATATATCAAATGAGTGTACTGATCTGAAGTCTGGTGTTATGGTGTACATTACTACGAACTGTCTAGAAAGTAAACATTATTCAAAACACTGTTCTCAAAACGTCCAGCTACCAACTGGATAATGTTAAGTTTAGACAGAATTTTAAACAAAATAAAATCCACTAATGCATTTGTCAACTTATATTGATCAAACCAGGTGGGATATATTTTACATATACTGAAACTCTATTTACTTTAACGCGACATGTTAGTTGATAATAAAAACTATGTTATACAGTGGCCAGGTAGTTACACAACACTGATCTATGTAGTCTGTAGCAATTATTTCTTATGAGCCTCAAAATAGCAGCTTAAGTGGACGTTTAGTAACATGAATTAAGGTGGAATAGCCGCCTAGTATTTAAAAGACAGCTTTCAATAATTCATTCTAAGATTCAAACCTAGCTTCGCCTCTCAATTTCGGTAGTTAAACAGTGTTGGTAGTTTTTATATGGAAGCTGTGGCTTTGAAGTGAGCACATTAAACTTTGTGTTTGGCTACTGAGCTACATAAAGAAATAAATAAAATACATGGCCTACAATTAATCTTATTGACCTATCCAAATAAGCGATATTTCATCATTTTACATATTTCTGTTCTTTGCTCTAATTTTTTTTCTTATGACCTTTCAATCTTACGATTTTTTTCCAGTGTGGATATTGATATTTTCATTCCTTTCAACCTTCTTTACATAATTTTCTTTGTGGTGCTAACACAAAGTAAGGGTTTTATTATGCCTCGTTCATCCTCATATATCTAAAATTTATGCTAAATATATGCATAAACGTATATGTACATTACTTTAGATTCATATGGTATACACCTTAGACTTCATAGGTCTTCTTAACTCGCGCTCAAGCGTGTATAAACATCTACGAATTAGCATTAACAAAAGAACTACTGAAAATTAAACAGCACTGATTATCTATTTCTTCCAAGTATGAAACTCCTTAGAACTGAAGACAAATGATCCTTCTCTTGACAACCAAAAAAAGTAATTTAATGTGTGTTGGGAAGGTATACAAACTTTGTGAAAAGATATTAGTAATGGTTTGTAATTTCCAACGTTTTTTTATCACGGCTGCAATTGATCAGTCCCTATTGACATATGTATACCCAAAGCAAATTATCCCGCTGGCTTGGTGGATAATAAGTTAGAGTTTAAAGCAATAAGCGTTGGGTTCGAATCCTGGTGTGAACATTAACACTAGTATGCAGGTATGTTTAGCTGATGATCCCCAGATACTGTAGTGGACGCTACACACAATATTGTGTTAGCAATGAGTAGTGGAACTTGACATCGATGTCCCACAACTGTCAGATGGAATGAAGAGTTTAAGTACATCGAAAACAGGGTGTTACCACAACATGAAGAGATCAGACTAGAAGATGGTTCAAATTGAAGAACGCACCGATAATGCAAATGGAAGATTGAAGGCTATATATATGTAATGTGTAGATACTTCCTACAATAAAAATAAACTCCTTGTGCCTATTGTCGTGTTTTGCAATACTATGAAACGTGGAGCCTGGATTCTACATTTATTCATAATCAAAAATGTAGTCTTGTATATATATATATAATAGAGAAGGAGAGGAAAATGAGAATGAAACGTACCTCGACACGGATCATTTTTAACTAAAAATTCGTCCAGTGTCACCCAACCACCACCTACACGAACCATTACAGCACTACGAAGGATGCGAACTAGACATAATTTTTGTGAGTCACCGAACTGTATATCAGGAAAAAAACATTGATCAGTTTACAATATATCATAAAGAAAAGAGACAAGAGAATACTTATATAAAATACGATATGATAGTTAAATGAAATTTCGTGTAACAAGATATATACAAGAAACCTAATACATTTTAGTCAATATTAACTTACAGTTGATTAAGTAAAAATAAAGCAGAATGAATTTCAAATGTTTACATGATGGTCTTATGAGTCATTTAACTAATTTATTGAGTGATTATTCAAGAAACAATATCCTCAATATATAATATAAGTAATAAAATAAGGAGATCAATAATATTTATCAGGCTTTTTAAAACAAATCAACTTTATACCATTGGAAAGTTTATCATTGAAATGGTAAAATTTTCAAGACATGAGATTCAATACCTAATTTTACTCACTTTTGTATTTATCAGCGATACTTCAGGTGATTGGAGATAGTCAACAGGAAGCTCTGCTACTTAGATTAGTGGTTACATAGGATCTTGATAGATAATCTTTGTTTACCATCAAAAAGTAGCCGGATATGAGATTGATCATTACTCATTGACTAGTCAGCGCAATTAGTAATACGTATTTATATTATTTTCTAATATCTGTATATTCTTTGTTTTATATGTTTTTCTAAACTATATAGAAACTTTATCCTTAAAGTTTATAACGAATAAGTACCATGGAGAGTTTTCCTGGACTGATTACGAAAAAGTACTTGTTAACATGAAGATATTACTGTCACATGAGATTTAAGTCCTTTTGCAAATAAAACGATAGTTTTAAATTTACTTTATAACAGCAAAATCATTATCTGTTCCTGTATAAAACTATTAATTATGAAAACTAGTTTCTAAATAGAATATTTATAAAGAATGGTTAGTATTTATAATCTTTGAGTTAAGGAGACGCTTATTAGTAATATTTCTGAAAATAAATATAGGGTTATCTTGAAAGTTAATTATAAAAATATTTTGTGCATGACATGAACATGAAACTTGTTCCACATTTTAAAAAATTGATATGGAATTTATAGAGCCCGGTGATATTGAATTTCAACCCTCCAAAAATACTAGATGAGTACCTGGAAAGTTTCGAAGAATAACGAATGGTGTATTATCTATTCTGTACAACCATTTTATTAACCAAGTACTCTGAATGAATTCACGCTGTTAGACAATAGTAGACAGTCTACAAGGACTAAGGTATTGTATATACTGTTAAGCACTAAAAAAACTATATATCTTCAACATCAAAACACTCTATAATTTCCCTGTCTTTTTGATCGTCTTGAAATTTCATACTGTAGCCAGAGATACTGCAATCTAGATCAACAGTGAATAAGTTTCTTGAGATTCAAATTGTAAACTTGATATAAAGGAAAAAATTCTATTAATTACTGTGATATTGTCAGATTTATAAAATGCATTGTTAGTTTGTAAATCCACTATATTTATTTATACTGAATTAAAACTAACCCGATATTTATTTGTTGCCATTTTCTTAATTTTATATGTGTTATGACATGTACACAATCCAACTTGACGTTTTAATTCATCATTAATGGTTTCTTCATCCGATGGACCGAAACGATTTAAACTTAATGAACTACCACCATTAGTATTCGATGATGATGTTCTATCCAAATTACTATAATTAGCTCTTAGTGCATTTAAACATTCACGATAATCAATATATCCATCTCCATTAGCATCGAATATATCTGCAACTGTTTCCATTTCAACACGACTTGTTTGGAATTCTATATAAATGAAGAGAAAAGACTTTATTCAGAAAAAAAAGATCTGAAAGAATTGAGAAGAATCTTTAGAGAATGATGTATTATTTGGTAGGAGATGATAATTTAATCAAAGAATTATAAAAAAAGAAATCTACTTTCCAGAAGAAAATTACAAATAACATATATCAACAGTTAAAGCATTTCCAAAGAGCATTATACATCATGAAAGAAGTTAAATTTCAATCTATTTATGTAAAGACAATAGCATAAAGCTAAACTATTTGTATATAAGAAAAGAAAAAATATATATACTCGAGAACCAGACAATAAAACTATGATAACAATCTACTTAGAATGAAAATAAATCTAAATATGACTTAGTAAATATTAAAACAATTTTAATCTCCCCTAATAGTAAAATTGACTAGATTGTACCAGGGCAGTTAGTTTTTCGAGTACAATGTGAACAGAGTGTACTCAAGAGGCGGTAAGTCGTGTTCAATGTTCAAGACTCGCCATGATTGGAAGACCATCGAGTTAGGGGTAGTCACAGAAACCAAAAAAAAGTTCATATAATTGTGATTTAATATAATGGGAAATTTTTAGCGATTAAAAACATTTTAATCCTACTAAAATAACATAAATGTTGATAATTTCAATAGTTTTGTTAAGATAATTTATCACTTGTGATTAGTTCTCAACTGATATGTAGATTATCCTGAAAGATGAAACAAAATGAGAATATTCTATGCCTAGAAAAGATAAGAAGAACTAATTAGAAATGAAAGTCTTCAAAACGCAACTTTCAAAATTGATTATAATATTTTATCGTATTTTTCACTTTACAACTATTTACTACTCGTCTGAGTATGTTCTAGTTCCTCATTACAAATATTATTACTATTATTATTAACTTTTATGGTTTGTAAACTTATTGTTCGCTATGTTGTTTCTATCTAGTTACAGTGGTGTACTAATTTATTGGCCTCTATATTGTGGTCAGTTTTGCCTGTCTATCTGTCTACCTAAATGTCAAAGGAAGGTTTTTATAAAAAGACCCAAATAGCATTGAACACAGTTACCAGGCTCGGAAAGCCATTCAGACTGGATTACTAGTGTAAAATTTTGATTAGCTCATAAATCAAGCATTATTTTTGAGTAAAACAAAAAGTAGTAAGAGTAATCGATAATCTTAGAATACAGTCAAGGTCAAAATAATTGTTTTCTATGTCAATCATTCATAGAATTAATATAAACAGTCAAGTATAAACAAAGTTTGACCTGATATAAAGGTGTAACAGTTCTAGTGGTCACATTTTAGATCGATATAACAGGAGGAAATCAATGAGCGAGAAATTCAGGTGCTGAAATAATAACAATAACGGTAGTGTACACATTAGATTTGAAATAATCTCAGCGACCGAAATTTATGTAATTCCGACGTTTGGTCCTTCAATCTTATCTGGACTTCTCCAGGATAGTGAAAAAAAATGAAAAAGATGAATGAGTAAAGTGAGACATTTTTGTCCGATAAAAAGTAACCGCATAATACATAAGCATATTGTGATGTGCGCTACTTATGCAGACAGATATGAATAGTATATAGAGGCAATAGGAAGTGGAATACCTATCAGCAGAAGATTGAAACAAAGAGGAGAGGAAGGGCAATCAAAATAACAACACGACTGGAAACACGATGAGGAATGTAAGGGGCAGCTCAAGGAAGATATGCAAATAATGGATTTAATGTATGGTTTTCATATTTTACAAAGGTACTGTGTGATTTCACACAAAATAAACCTGTTTGCCTTACTTGTCTTTAGTTCGTGCCCCCAAATGCCCTGGTACGGCCGAGAGTCGAGAGAGTCCGCTCTCCCTCTCCAAATGCTTTTACATGGCCACGCGTATATAGCATCTGCCAGGGAAGTTCTACTCACTGCCCTCTCGTGGCGGGGTTGTTGTTTACGAAAATGAGAGGACGAAAAGCGAATGTCCGGCGCTTTAACCGGATCCCAAACCGATGGTGCACATGGGCTCCAGTATCCTGTGGGAACAAATGGCGTATGAACCAATTGTTGGTCACTGGCTTTCACGGGACTGCATCTCCTTACGACGCTCCACTGCCTTGTGGATCAGACCTTCAGGTCGAAGACTCGGGGACTGGCCCCCTAAGAAAACCACCTGCTTCGGTCTGGGCACCCGGTCAGTATCACAGACCTTACACATATGGAATGAGATTTTTGTGGCGCATATGTATTTGGTGCCTCCTTTTACCAATATCTATGTGTTAAAATAAATAAATAAATCGTGCCAATACGCTATAGTCAGTTGTCGCATAATTTGGAAGTTGTTTATTTGTGCAAAATAAAATGGGCACAAAACATCTAGTTTTAAATCTTTGAAAAGTTAAATAATTTTCGGAGGGATTTTTGAATGGTTTCTTTGTAAAAAGTGATCATCAGCATTGCTCAAAGGAAATATGTAAAGTAGGATGCTAGTTTATAGTTTATTGATTTATCGATTGGTAAGATAACTGACCAAAGTAAACAGGTTTATCTATGACAAACAGGTTGAGAGTTTGATGTTTAAAAGTAACCAGAATATCAATAGTTAAAATGAAATATTGTGAAAACCGCTGTTCTTTGATACAACCAAAGACGTGTGATACTTTTTTGGAATGCGATGTTAGCTCTTGACCACGTTTTTTGGTAAAAATCGTAAATAGTCGAACACAAATTTAGAGTATAAATCAAACATTAAGGATTTACTTCGAATTCTTTCACTGAGATTTTAAAAATACATTCTTCCTCTTTAATGTCTCACATTAGCTTGGCGCCCAAATATTGTGAAACTATCCGTTCAAATTTAGACGAAAGTTCTTATTTAAATATTAAGGTTGTATGAGTCATTATTGTTCAAAATAAAGAGACGGTGAGTAGTACATATCAGGAAATAGTTATATAATTAAGCTCGTATTCTAAATTTTAAACTTGGTAGGAATAAAACGCTACCAAGTTTAACTAAGTTTCTATCAGTAATTTAGGGAAATAGTTGAATATCAGAAGGAATGTCTCATTAAAAACTTGTTCGATTACTTTCTAGCTAAACAGACCAGTAACAAACATTGTGGTGAATAGATCACAAAATCATCAAAGTAATAATCGTTTATTTGTTAGACTTATTTTGAGCATGATACTCATAACTCATGGTAGATGTCCATGACCTGTAGAATCAGTCAAATTGAGAATAAACTAAATATACATCGATAAAACATCAGATGAGTGTAGTGATGGGATATATCAATCACTACAGGAAATACATGAATGCATACGTTTTGATATTATGTGTGGTAGTAGGTGTAGACTACTGAAATGATAACTAGAATAGAGCAAGTTCTCTACTATGCAGTAATTTTTCATACACCATCAGTTATAGATGAAAGTATTTCATAAGCTACTAATTCACTGTTTCAAAAGCATTAGTTGTAATTTACTAGTTACACGTAAAATCATATACCAAGTTGAGTATTGTATAGAAGCTTACAATATTGTTATTATTTTCAATATAGATTAAACCATATTTGAATCTATGATTCAGTTGTATTAAAAGTTGACTAACTGTACTAATAAATAGATCTAAACCCTACACTTTACTAAATTCAATTTGGGCAGTTGGATAATGTTCTTAGACCTTTCACTTAAAATATTAGCTTAAAGCCAAATGTACAATGCTCTGTAGTTGATAAATAAATTCGATAAATCAATTCATTAAACTAATTAGCTACTATTTCTTATTCCTAGAACTTTGTTCTGTATAAGTTGTTAAACGCCTAGTCGAATACATCCTTTATCTATTACATTATGTACATTAACTTACTAAAATGCATCGATAAATACAATATTTATTTCTAATTAGAATAAGGGTTACATGTACATAATATTAGTTCACTTTTCTTGTTGTTTTGTCTTTATTATTATTATGTTACGTTAATTCTAGAACTGTGATAGTATTTTTGACACCATTTACAAATAAATATAATGTAATATAAATATATTGATGTTCAAAGTTATCGGCTATTCATAACTGAGCAACTAAGTAAATGAAAGTTTACTTAGAACATCTACTAGTTCAAGGTTGATTAGCTTTTTTCAAATTAATACTATTTAGCGTGTTTATTTTGTTATAGGTTAGTGCATTCTTGCATTAAGTAATTTATTATGATTTACAGAGTCAACTAAATCAGAGATGTGGTTGTAATTCATTGATTAAGCTGAATGGATTTTGTGAAATTGGAGTCTAACTTAACAAATCAATGATATCATGTTCATAATGAACTCTGAGGATTTAAAATTTTAAACCTTATATTGAAGTCATGTGTGTATGTACTGATGAGATGTCTTGTACTAGGACAAAAACACTGTCTAGTCGTTCTAAGCTTCTAGTGGTTCTTAAACTAATTTGCAGTCACTATCAAAATTATGTAAACGATGTATTATTTGTTTTAGAATCAAATAAATCTTGGAGTGAAAATTGCTTAGTATTTTAACTACAGTTTACACACAGAATTTATGTTTCCAGCATTGCGTATGAGATTCAAATTCGGTAGATGAGATCTTACGAAATCTACATGATATATGATTATATATTATTTCGTTCGGTTTCCGAAATGTAACTCGAAATGAACAGAATGTTTAAATTTTCTCAGCCTTAAAAACCTACCTTCAGTATGTTCTGGTGAGGTATTTTTAAAGGTACATCGTTTACTGGATATTTTCTAAATTACCTATTTCTTTTCCTATTGTATTTAGACCAGAATTGCACTTATCAAATCGGTTTCATCTGTTAAACGAAACTAAATCCCTGAAATACCTTTGTCCTTGAAGTCAACTACCAAATAGACGAGATTTTTCAACATTTTGACATCTGACGAACTTCCGTCTAATATGTAAATATGTATATTTCAAAAGCTATATAAAAGTTTGTGTACTTGGCTATTCTTCACAATTATTAAAGGAAAGCCAATGATCCTAGCTAGCTGCCAGAGTTCTACTGAGCGAAGCAAAAGTCGAATATATAACTTGGTGATTAGCTGCTGAAGTTGAATGATTAAACAAAGACAGTGATATATCAGAAGAAGTAAACATCAAGGTTATCTTTATATGGAATGCATACATATGCACCTGCATATGAATTTTTAAGATATTTTATACAAAATGAGATATGATATGTATTACGAGATACAATTATGTGAAATTGATAGTTTCACTATCAAACTCAACGTTAACAGAACAAACTGTGAAGAAATTCTGATAATTAACTTCTATTTAAAGTATGTACTGATGTTGTTGTCAGAAATAAGCAACAACAGTGAAAGCTTCACTATCAAACCGTCAAGTTCACAAAACACAATGTCTCCAAAAAAGGGTGTTGTGCATACACTTAGCTTATAGTTAAGAAAGGTTATATTTACATATTGTATGATAATGAGAATACTGTCCAGTGTTACTAAGAGCTACCTCGACATCAAATTTGCACATTAATAACAGTAAAAGTATATACTGATAACAGAAATCGAGTACAATTTAATTACTCTAAAGAGATCAGTAAATAAGAATATCTTATTGTAAAGTAGAATCAATTTACTAACAAGATAATTGTGAATTAACTTAGTAATATGTATCTAATGATGAGTTAGATTTATGTGTCACCCATATATTTTAACTGCAATCAACAATCTACTTATGTTATGAAAAAAGTTTTGAGTAGTAATAATATGAGAATAATTTCAGAAAGCAAAAAGCATATATCAACACAGCGAAAGTAACATGCCCAACAGAATAAGGACATATACTTTGGATGAAAGAAAAATTTAGCAATACTATAACACTAGCTTGAATTCAATCCATTTAATTGTGTCATAGTATGCAGAAAGCATTTTAAAAGATTTGCCCAAGAAGATGCAAGCGAAAAAAAGTACGCAAGAAATTTGAATATACAAGCACAATTATAACGTTTTAAAAGTAAAAGAATAGAAAAAAAGTAGTCGAAGTACACAACTTATTCATGTTGAACACAATCGAAAAATACACAAAGAAAAAATCGATAACGTTGTACACATACATATACATATACTTACACACGCACACACACTTACTTTTTCGACTTGCATTGTCTATTTAGTATTAAACGCAGAAAAATCAATTTAGGATTAAAGGGAAAAGAGTGTAGATAATGATCTCTCAGTAGTAGATCAGTTGACATAAAATTGCACCGAGAATCAAGGTGATCTATTCTACAACTACCATATTCAGTGAACGAAAAAAAAGATTCAAAGCAATTCGTAAGTACTAACCAGGAAATTTACTACTCTTGTGAGCCACTTTTGACCGAGAAGTACGAAGTTCAAACCTAAAACCTAACTGTTGAAAGTCAAATACTGTATTCGTTGGACTACCATTTGACTAGACTATTCAGTAATGTAATAGAAAGGCTTAAAGCTCTTTTGGGGTTACTATCGATCCTAAGCCCGGTTAAACGAGGAGGGTTGGGGACGGGATTAGTAACCTCAACCCATAGAAAGCCTTGTTAAAAACGCACACCAGAAAAAATAACTCAAACCATAGACAGAGTGATTCCGTTATACCACTGAGGGTTTGTACAAGCTTGCCGAAGTTGGTGTTACTTCAAGAATGTCTTTAGATTGGATCATTGAAGATAAAACATTGTTACTAAGTATGTATCAAGTAATGATAAAAATAGAAACTGGAAACAGGAAAATTATAATTTCAGGTTGGTTTTTTTTTAAAAAGACATTATGTAGTAAAGCATCATTATTCACTGCCCAGTGCTTAGTTATATACTACGAAAGATGTGAAATAATTGGATTTCCTTTTCTAAAATAGCTTCTAATGTAGAACAGTCATTTTCAAGCTAAATGCTTACTATTCAACAAAATATATCATAATGTTAAAAACTACCATTTAGGATTGTAAATAGCACAACTATTCATCATCATTACATAATTACGAAATAATAAGTTAGATTTTATATTTTCCACACAAAACTTACTCATTTCTATTATACCATCAATAAATTCAGCTCTTGTAAGTCGACCATCTCGATCACGATCTTTACGATGAAATAAATCAATAACACGTGCTTTATTTGTACTTAACCATGAAACATAACGTTGACGCCATGATTCAAAATGAAAATCTTTCATTTTTTCCACTTCATTTAAATAAGCTAAACGTTCATTTAATTGGGATTTACGTGTTAACATTGCAATCCATAATTCTCTCCAATTTAAATATAATTGATTAATATTCGGTGAAGTGAAAACTGATATAGATTGATTATGTTGTTGATTTGCTGTATTAATAGAACGGTTGAATAGATTACCACTGGGTCGTATTGGTAAACGACTTCGGCGATTATTATTATTAATATTATGAGATGATTTAACTGGTGTACGTCGTTTAGCATGTTTTATAATATTTTCATAAATAGGTTGTTTTTGTCTCACTTCTTCTTCTAAATGACTATGTAGATTGAGTAATTGTTCAATTATTTTTGAATCGGTTATTTCATTTAAAACTGTTGTAAAATCAGTAAGAATTTCAGGTTGTTTTAAATCTTTACTATTTATACTACTATTACTATTGACAACAACGTTAGGTTGGCGAGCTAAAGAAGTAATAGTTGATATAGCAATACGTTCTTGAGTTATGGAAAATAAGTCTTTGGAGTCTATTGATTTTGAATCATTTGAGTCTAGTTTACTCTTAGCTGATTGTAAATTAGTCGATGAAGATGACAATGATGATATCGGTATTGATGTTGGAATACTTTTTAATTCACTCGTTTTTACATGTATCCAGTGCATGAGTTCTTCACGTTGAAGTTTACGTTTATTCTGTTCTTCTAAAGCTTCTTGCAAACGATCTCCACGTTGTTCAGACCATGAAGTTAACTGGGTAAATTTTTTGTTTAGAAAAAAATTAATGAATAACAATTAATGAAATTAACTTAAATGCAGTTAAACATACTAGATGAATTAGGTTATGGACACATTTATGTTAGTATTGCAAAACAAAATCACGAGGGAATGGAGGACGATCTTCTCTTTTAGTTCGTCTTTCATTAAAGTTGGTCATCTGATCCATTTAGATCGTGAATTCAGTATTCATAGTCACAATATTTAAAGACCTTAGAAACTAATCTATTTTAATTGAAATAAGTACAAAATCAACGATTCATACCCAAAAGCATTATTATTCAAAATTACAAATCCTTTACTTTACAAGCTTGAATCAATTTCCGCCTAATTTGGTTTGAACCACCGAAGTGTCACTTGAAAGCTCTGACTCAAAGCTGAGTAAGCGAGTCTTCATTTTACTGTTGTAAAGGGTTAGTTTGCTAAGTCAATCTAATTACCAAGACGGTATCGTTTTTCGAAACAGCTCTCCATGATATTTCTATACCTGTTAGACAACTACTGGAAATAGGATGTACAGTCGGTAAACATCTCATCTGAATGTAGGACAATTTAATAAACTACAAACAAAACTCTTTCGTTATCTAATGGAGAAAGATTACAAAAACTTGATAATTTAACTATCCAACTCACCATGATTTTGTTTATACTCAATTGACATCAAGTGAAATTGAAAATCGTTTCCTAATTTATGAGAAATACTGTTTCACTAAGTTAAATTGGGCTTGATAGAATGAACTTAATCTATATCTTACAAAATAATTTTAGTTTTGAATTTTAAAAATGTGAACATTCCAGCAGGAGTTCTTAAACAACAAATTCAATGATCAAAATGAATTTCATTTATAACATTTTACTTGATAACCTCTATATAATGTATTTGTTTGTTGGGGCCAAGAAAAAGATAAATAGCTGGATAATGATGAGGTATCTTGTAGTAAATAAAAGTTATTCTTAGTTAACATTTGTTAATGTATCTTAACTCTTATTCTTCATACGGGAATTTAGAGATTATAAAACTGGGTGGCTTGATACATAATTAATATGTGATAATAAAATGAAATCAATTAACCTTAATCCAGTGGTTTTATTTTGTTTTCTATAAGTGTTGAAATAGGTGAATATTAAAAAGAGTATCTATTAGGAGTATGTGAAGTATTTATAAACTGGTTATCATAATTCAGAACAAGATAATCAGCAAATAAGTGACAGGTTACAGATATACTGAAATTAGGCTTCACTTATTCAATTGCCAATTAATTAAACTTGTAACACTAAAGAAACTAGCTAAATTTTCATTGAACAAGCAACATAAAAATAATCAATCTATCAGATACAATAAAAGTATATAACTACATGAAACTAGCAATGGAATTATATGTAATTAACTGATTCTCGTGTTACTTCCTACTTTCTTATCGACAATATTCCAGAAATAGTTTTGAGGGGAATGTGTAGGGAAGGTAGCGACATCGAAAACAGGAATAAAAGTATCTTTTTTGTAAGGAAATATAAACTCATATATTTAATAAGAAGTCAGCCTGTAAATGTTCAAGGTCGTTAAGTTACATATCACTCAAAGGTAAATTACTATTTAAAATTCAGTCGTAACGTAGAACTTGGTATACATGTACATCGGTTCAAGTAGCTACACTCCATTAGGACAACGAGATCAAATCGTTAGGGCGAATCCAGTAGTACTAGAGGTAGTACCAATATTAGTGGTAATAAAAAAGGTTAGTCATCAAAGACACTATTAGGGAAGAAAATGTAAATTAATGAAATAAAAAAATTATGAGGAATTGAGAAGTCTAGAATCTGGGAGAAGACAAAGAATGAATGCGCCATTGCGAACGGTTTCGAGCCATGTTATTCAAGGTCTTTAACCACCGGTTACGGTCATCACGCGGATCTTAACTGGGTTATACATACCTATTACGGTGGTTCAGTCCAGTTGTCGTTGACTTTATGGAAACCAATGCATCCACTGATCCTTGATGCTTATTAATCAATGATTAAAGCCAGCGACTGTCATGCTACAGTTATTTTGCAACATATAAAATAACTAATGGGAACTCAGGATGGTTATTTATGCTTATTTTCTGTTTTTTGGTGAGATTTAATATCCCTTACTCTTCTTCAGTTTATTAAGTTAAAAGCATTCTTCTATATATCACAAAAATGCATCAAGTTTACACTGTAAATGGAAACGGTAATAATAATAATAATAGCCATATGTACAGTACGCATACCTCCTCCCATCGTGTACGAATAGTATTAACCCATTGACGTAAGCGTTTCACAGCTGCTGGATGAGCTTGAGATAAAAGTTTATTTCCTAATTGTAAAGCAGCTTCAACTCGATCAGCTTGATTCATTAAATTAGAATGTGTTTGTCGATGAGCTGTAATTGCATCTGTTAAATTAGTTGGTGGATTGTTAGTGCCAGCAATTTCAATTTCCAGTTCGCCATCGTCATCAAAGGTCGGTAAAGCAGACAAACGATGAATAACACGTTCTGCGCCAGCAAAATAATCCATTAAACTTCGACATGTATCCTGAAATTGCTGCGCCTGTAAGTGAAGACAATAGTATTTGTGAAATGTATCTACTTGAGAGGATGCTGATAACATAAGTCAGTAATAAAATGTACGTTAACTTATTTGGCTTTAAGATACAATTTTTCTAAGAGGACTGAAAATCTACCAAGCTTCTCAAACTGATATGTGTGCGTTGAGTCTTCAACTTGTGAATTAATGATTACAATTTAAATGCCTCAACTACCTAATATTTAATATTTCACTATACAATTCGTAACCTATAGTGCTATAAGTAATCTAAAATACCATGTAATGAAGATGCGTTTATCTGACAAGGTAATAAAGTTGTGTGATAAAAATACATAAGTTGAATTAAATAACCTCGAAAATTTGAACAATTTAAAAACGATTTCTTAATCAGAAACAAGCAAGCATTGGAAACTAAGGTGTACTTGTTGAGTCGTGTTCTATGTTAAGCCCATATAGTTTATTCTAGCTTGCGGGTAGACCAATTTATTCGTTCTTTTTGAGTCGTATTTTGACCTCGTTAATTTTTCGCTTATCGACCTTGACTGTTTTTATGTAAGCATATGTGTGTGCAGTTCTTATCCTACTCAACAAACGTCTGTAACTTATTTTTGTCTGACTATAAATATCGATCCATGTTTGGTTAAATCGAGTTGGTTAACACACACCTACTTCACTGAGGGTCATTTAATTTCGCGGTGAGACTATAATTTATGGACGACCTTTAAGCGACGATAAAAATACCTTGAGGATGTCCATCTGCATACTACGGCTAAATGATGGTTATAAACCAGTGTGAGTAATTAGGATTAATATTTACGGTTGATAGATAGGGTTAGGAATTTGATTTAGGGTTCTCATCACGAACTGACATCAGCTATAATGCCAAAACTATATTTAGCCAAGTGAATGAATTAGTTTCGCGCCAAAAGTCAAGACTTGTTATCGTAAACTTGATTGGTTCGTCCACAAACTATAGTCTCACTAGTTTCGCTTCTCTCCTCTTCTTTTCCTTCGCTCCGTCTCCTTGACTGTCTGTTCAGATCAACGATTGTATGAAATATACGTATTCAAACTTCATTCTCGTATTCGACTTATTAAATCCCGTTATTCACAAACATGAGTTAAGTCAATGATTATATACGAGGGTAGCTAGGATGTATATTTCGATAACTTGATGACAATCATTCGTACGATCCTATTGGAATCAGATATCGGGCCACTAAATACTAAACAGTTTGTTCTTAATACCCTATGACTACATAGTGTGATATAAGTTAAAGTATTTCAGGATTAAACCCAGAACTTCCAGTTATTATAGTGAGCACCCTACTGTTAAGCCAATAAGATGTAACCAAATGGTCAGTACTGCAATGTTTTACTATATATCGCTACCATTCTTCAGCGTCTGAGACAATGGGTGACACTTTGTAGACGCCAATCTCTAGCACTGGATGCAAATCAAGTAGAATATGAAACTAGAAAGCGATGATTGACAATAAGAATAGACGAAAATATAAGAAATGGAGAAGAGAAAGAGGTTGACAGTTTGACCTGCACCAAACCGTCGAGGGCCACATAGAAGTTCGCTATTTATTAAAAAAGACTAGCACGCCTCTCTGCTTCTAGGATGTCAACATCACTGAACATGTGAGTTATCCACCGAGGAACAACTTACTACCCCAGCATTGTGGTAAAGTTCAAAGAATAACCTTGTCCTCAAAACTGGGACATTCTGGTTTTGGTCAAGACATCCTTCATCTAGTATGTTTGTAATGGTAGGATCTGATGGAACAAGTGTTGTATTTAATATATCTGGAGATCATCGAGTTAAGGTAATAGCTACGGTTGGAATTCGCTACTACTTGAGAGAAGGTTTGAGATGCTATAGACCTAATACGATACATCTCACATACAAAGTGAACCTGAGAATAATTATGAAATAATGAGTCGGCATAAGTGAAAAAAAACTGAAAAGTGGAATACATAACACAGGAAATTTGTTTTTCATGATTGGTTTTATGATTTGGACTGTCAGAGATAGTTGAGCTGATCGGGAGTTCTTAAAAGTCCGCCTGCTTACTAAGCGAAAATATCTATTGATAATTATTAAATACTGGCGGCATCATGATTACACTGGATCTCGTGACAAGCTATTATACAAACATAGTACAGTCACCATTATTATTAAGATGTATTCCAGAAAACGGAAATATTTTTGATTAATGTATGAAATTCCTATCGATCCATGACTTTTACACTAGTAGATTATGTGACAACCAATTAAAATAAATTGTGAAGTAGGTTAAGATCATTAAAAAATATTTGCATACCAGTTAATGCAAATATTACAAGGTGTTTACTCAAATATTACCATTTTTAATGCATGATCCAATCGTTCACTTCGACGTTGAGTTAAATTCTGTACACGATCCCATATTTTAGATAAATGATTTAATTGAGCTTGCATAGCAAACACATCCGCTTGATTGCTAGCTGATGAACCAGCTCCAGAGTCAGTAGTAGATGAAGCTTTATTCATTAAATCACTGGCAGCTTGATGTATTAATTTCACAGATGTGGCACGTTGTTCCAGCTCAGCTTTGAAACGATTATGAGATTCTAACAATTGCTGAAATACGAAACAAAAAATTTACATTTTCATCCGTATAACAGGGTTTTATAAGAAACTAATGTTTAAAATACAGAAAATGTGACCTAGTTGAATCAATTTTAAACAATAGCCGTGTATGTAGTCAATTTAGTTATCAACCCAACACCTAAATTAGTAATCACCAACAAGGCTAAGTGCAACCTCGAAAAAGAGGTTATACAACTTATCAGTGAAGTGAAGAAATTAGCATCGATCAAATCCATGAGCATATAAGTTACTTAATAGCATGGTTGGATCATAACTGATGAACTGGCTAAGTTGGTGTTGGTTAAACAACAACTGATAACCAGCCAAAAAAGTTCAGTAAAGTTAGCTCAAAACTTTTCAATAATGTTCACAGTCGATCAACAATTATAATTAAGAAGTGGCTAACCTCAACAATATCCACATCACCATAGTTTCCAGTTTGTTGTTCAGCTAATTGTGGTTCAATCTTACTCAACCAATCAAGTAAAGCTTCCAATGCTTCTTTATAAAGACCAGCTGCCAAGAGAGCTTGTTCTAAAGTGCGTTGTCTAAAAGAGAAGGGAAAAATTGGATATGATATGTATGTCTATACAGAAAATCAATGTCCCAAATAGTGTCAAGTCAGTCAATTGGGTAGAATTCGTATGTTCATATTTTCTACAATTCAGTCACTTTTTAATGCGGTGTAAAGTGCCCGTGCAATGCTCTGTAACTAATTTAATTTTACTAGCTTTGAATCAAGTCGTTATTAGTTTCTTTTTCTGAAATCCAGAAACACGGCTAAATCATGAATCACTTGTTATCCATGCAGTTCAAAACAAGGTCAGGAGATTTAAAGTTCCACTCATCCCATGTAGTATACAATAAATGAAAACTAAATCATGAGATCATTAGTAACTAACTGCGAAGACTAAACCCAGGAGTTCTAGTGAGAATACGACCATGTTAGTAGCGAAGTATTTACTCATCAATAGCAACGGATAGTGATTGCAAAATATCATGAATTGATTGAAGTTATTAATCCAAACTACTGGATACCAACTCAGTGCTCTGTAAGTTAAACATTTGCCAGGAGGCTTGAGGATTTTGGGTTGGATTTCCGTTGGGTTCGTGGGAGTGCACTCCCGAGAAGTTCCATAATAAGACGAAACGGCTGTTTAGTGATCCTCGACTTTCAACAAACATCTGACTAGGGTCAGTTAAATAGAGAGCCAATCAGAAGTGGAGAAAAGGTCACACGATGGTAACCGAAAGTGACCTAAAGGTCAAATGCATTTCGGTGGGGTCAGTGGGTCAATCTTCTAAGGATAGAGTGGTATATATAGGAATGAGTAGTTGGGTATTTCACTCGGTATTCCAATACACTTTCTCGCTCACTCGTGTGTTCTCGCTCAAGTAGTCAGTTGGAGGGGGGTGGTCAGCAAATCGCATATTCTGTATCAGTATCAGATTTCGGACACCACATGTCACAAGTCAGTTTGTGATTGATATTACAAAAATACATCTATTGAGTGGCTTGTGAGATTATTGTCTAAATCTAAAATATTCAATATCTTTATTCCGAAAATTCTAAATCGATACTCTTAGCATTATTAAGTTTATTATGAGCTTTTAACAACTTGGTAAAAATTTATACGAAAAACAAATTAGACAAGCTTGATGGGCCCAAACAACCGTTTAGGAAAAGCACTACTAACCCATAAATTACAGTAATGTTACATCAAAAAATCAATAAAAGTGAAAACTGTATTTACTTCAAAGTGGCTAAACGAAAAAACTGTTCGGTAACACACAGTTGTGTGCATTTTAAAGTATCTTCAAAGTAAGCAAATTTCTACTAATCAACTCACTGTGTATGTGCCGTTTGTTTCAAAGAGCATGAACTGTTAAGTCTCAAAGATTACTGAACCATTCTAAATTTATCATGTTTCTATTAAATTATAAAGGGTTATTATTAAACTTGATTCTTTCCCTCGCCTTATTTTATCAACATATATGACCTTTCATTTTTGGATTTCCTTGTAACAATTGTTGCTGTAATACCATATCGCGAAGATTAAAGCAATGAATAGTTACATAGACTATTTGAGATGATCATGACAGGTAGACTGATTTTTACTGACGATAACTAAGCTCAAAAACGTGGTGATCGGACAACTGACCCGGTCCTCCATTGACAAAACTGCTACGCCTTACAGCTAAATAGATCTGTTTCATTTTATTTATAGAGTGCAGTTCTTGCATTCTATGTAAACGGATGATATACACTTGTCAGCACCTTATTTTTTTAGCTATCCAGTCAAGTTTTTTCAACTCCAATCCTCTAGTTCCTCCAGAGAGTAGAAGATCGAACACTGCTGAAACTAGTTTCAAACATTGACAGTGAATATAATACGTGGAATATAACAATCATAATGAATGCATAAATTATGAATGAGAAATTTTGTATTAGATCATATTCATTACTTGTTAAAACTAGTTTATAAAGAATGACGGTACGGATAAGTTCATGCGAATTCATGATTAAAGTATGAATTTCAGATTTAGTTATAAATGATATTTAATAGAAGGTTAGAGATTATGAAATTACCTCGCTAAGGCTTTCGTACACACTGCTTGCCATAAATGCTTTAATTCACTGACCATATCATCTAATTCATCATGATCACATACTGGTGCTCTATCACGTAGTTGTCTAGCGTAACGACGCACTCCATCATAAGCCACAGTACGTGTGCTTAATGCTCGCTGTAATTCACGATGTAATGCTAATTGATAAGCGACTTTCTCAGGTCTTGTAGCGACACGATCACCATCTTCCTCCAATGAAGCTAAGTTTTCCTTTAACCAATCTGTTAACGATGTCCAGTTATCCAGAAAGTTACTGGCCTCCTAAAATTTAATCGAAAAGATCATATCATCTTTAAGTAGAATATCAAATCATTCGTCCGTTACTTAAGTGTTCCAGCATTATGAGCAAAAGTAGCCAGTCAATCTAAAACGTACCAGCACATTTAAACTTTAAGATGCTTTTATATAACAGTTAGTCAACTCATTATTTTTGCCAATACTTGGATCCATTCTTTTCTTTCTGTTCAAGAAGGTCGAATAGTTCAAACTGTCATTTGCTGTTATTATTAATTCCGGTTAATTATCTACGTTTTCTTAGTTGTATTTCACTCTATAAAAAGCCAATTAGCTACATAAAGAATCCCACAGTTAAGAATCACTCATCAATCTCTACAGCACTTTCAATACTACTTAAACAGTAAAATTTGTACAAGTTTACGTGACGTGAATACAGAGTGATTCAGTCAGCGAAAAGCAATTTAAGGTCGGAAATAAACGTGTTCATGTATTCAACTTTGAAAAGCACTTCTATTTGGGACTGTCTAGATCAAAGTATATCAAGAGAATTTCAATTCTGGTGAATAAATCATGGAAGTCAAGTCCCCTAACCAATGTGCATACGTGCCAACAAAATTGCCAAAGATGAGGAACTAAACAACACATTGTAATTTGTTGAGTTTCAGGTTAGGCGCGTAAATAAAGAGGAAGAGTGAACATGTGATGCGAGATAGTAAGGCACATAGAACACTACCTAGAAAAAAAACCGGGGCATGTTTTACATAAGAAGAAAGAGAGTACTCATTCAGACGACTAAGAAAACTCATTGTCTTTTATTTTCCTCCTGGATAGCTAAAATGAATCACGTAAACAAAATACTCCTTTATATTTGTCAGGATATATTTACCGCACTGACTATGATCTATTCATTTGCAAAGAAACAATATGCAGTAGACAAAACGATTTTTACAGGGAATAGACTATTCAGAAAATGAAAGAATTACCATGGTATTTTGGAAGAAAGCGGAAAACAACAAACTAACCTTCAGACCAGTGTTAAGTTGACGTGTACGTTCTGCACTACGTGAAACTAATTGCTCCCATCTAGTATGAATACTAGATAAAAGATTTTTTACCAATATTACATCTTGTTTTTGTGATTGACATTGTATTTGACTTGCTAAACGATCTAAATTAATTAAAGCATCACGATGTCCAGTAATTTCTTTGCGTAATTCAGTGTGATCACGTATTAATTGAAATAGGCGAGCTACAATACGACTGACTGGTTTCTGTTGTAGTATAGTACGTTCCATTTGTGTAAGCCATTGCATCATTTGTGATAAATGATCATGTAATTCTTCGACTTGTTTTAAACCTAATTCCATACGGTCACGAATATCTTGAGCATGTTTTAACAACTGAGCATAATGGTCAGAGAAACGTTCAAGATTAGTAGTTAATTGATTACATGACTCTGCTGCTGACTGATTAACTAACAATGCAGCTGAATTTCGACGCAGTTCATCAAGCTGTTTACGTAGGGAAAAAGAATAATAAAGCACGAGTTAACTTAAGCATGCATAAACATATAGCAACTACCCTACCAATTAATTTCGGTTAATCCCTTTTATTAACTTAACAGACAATATATATATATATATATATATATATATATATATATATATATATATATATATATATATATATATATATATATATATATATATATTAGCCTTTACCTTGCTTAGCTGTGCACTTATTCGATTTAACTATAAATTTGCCTCTGTATGTATTTGCTCACATACAAATTCGCCACTCTGCCTCAAATTCGCTCGATGTGCTTAAAGCTTTGTTATTCGTGCTATGCGCTAATAATCTATAGTTGCCACTTCTTATTGCCTTCTGATTTCAAACACCGTGAGATTTATATAATAACGGTGATTGATTAACGAAGCAAAGCCACTACAAATAAAATGAAGTAATTACTACTGTCTACAATAAGCATATGACAAATAGTTGAAGTAAATACATTATTTACCTCTGATCCAATTTTTACAAGTTCATCATAAACTTCCATGAAGCGACGTAACTGTTCACGTGCACTATCTGGTAAACCACCCATAATGCGTGCACCTGGTGGGGGCATTCGACTTTTTAACTGTCGAGTGCGACGTATAAGTTGATCCAGTTGACCATGAAAATTAAAGGTCTACAAAATAAAAAGATTTGAGATCATTTGAAATATCGATGTCTGTAAGAAAACTGCAAAAGTTGTACCGGAAGATATTTAACATGTTTGTTCCACGCAGTTCATTGGTAAGGTCAAATTTACTGCATTTTAATTCATTGCCTTTTTCCGGCTTCTACTATGCAGTTAGAAGTTGTCTCCTACTCATCTTTATTTTGTCATCGTTGAAATAATGAAAACGTAGCTTGTGATATTTTCCAACAATTTACTTCTAAGATAGAGTGTCATCAATTATAGACAACGTGGAATGTACATTAGTTATAATTCTCTTTTTCTTATTCAATGACACTATGGGTTATTTTAATTATCTTTTAGTTAAACTAATATGAATTAGTCATAAACGGTTACTGCTTTGAGTGAAACAGGTTATTTAAAAAAAATGTCTGTACAGACCATCATACCTCACTCAATGCTTCTTCTAATGCTGCTTGTTTATTGCGTACACTCAGTTTCAAATGTTCCCATGCTTTATTCATTTGAATAATTTTATCTCGGATATCTGATGTTTTAAAATCTGAAGTCTGTGATTTTCTTTTGACATCTTTATCAGTATCTACTCCAGAGGGTTTATCGATTTTGTTGCAATCAGCACGTTCTAATTTCCTTGCTTGTTCTTCTATTCTTACAACAGATAATTGATGACTGTTAATATTGTGATGAATTACCTTAGTGACAAAGTAAAAGAGAAAAATAATTAACCAAGAAAATTATAAAACTACATAACTCATAAATATTAAGCATTGATTAATAGGCAAAAATTCAGACTTGGTTACTTTAACTTCTGCAATGAAAACATTTTAAGTTGTTAGCATTGTAAACTGAGATCGTAATAACTGAGTGAGACTAAAAATATACTTAGTTGATGAATGTAAATAAGAACGAAAAGTTGATCAAGTGCATACTATTGATCATCTTTGGATTTTCAGGCTAAAACATTCTACACATACACAAACTTTAATGGCTGAATTCATGAGTCGATTTAAGCCAGACCTCCATGGAAAACCTGGAAGAACTGGAAGGATATTTCGCCATTTGTATGGGACTCTTCAGTGGTGTGCGTGCGGGATCGTGGATGCGCACTGCTGAGGAGTTCCATACTAGAGCGAAACGTCCGTCCAGTTCTTCCAGGATTTCCATGGTAGTCTAGCTCAAATCGACTCATGAATTCAACCGTTAAATTACTACAATTTCTACAAACTCACATACAGAAACGTTATATTTTAGTAACTATAGTTAAATAAGTTTAGTAGGGTTTATGGTATTTTAACAGCTTTTATGTTATTAAACCCCCGCATGATTTAACCCTACTTCTGAACAGGCTTTATTAACTCAGATATTATTTGACTACCGGGTCATTTTTACCTTCTTACTAACTCTATTGTCTTCATAGGAGATTATGACTTGCAGTACCACTACTTCATAGATTCATTTCCTTGTAAATCTATACCTATACATCTCATGTATGCTCGTATATATCTGTACTCTTATTTCTTCATCAAATGCCTGTCTCCTTATTGCATCATGAATTATTTGCTGTTATTTTTACGTTTATAACGAGTAATATTTTAAGTAGATCTGTTTTCTTCACTTCTTATCTCTTCGCCTATCTCCCGAATATATGAAATACAGAGATCCGAAGCATTCGTATTTGAATTTTTATATCCATGTTACTATTAGCGGGACTTGTCGATATAACATATACGAAATTGAGTAAGATATGTATCAATAACATCAAGGTCATTCGATCGTTATGCAGTCAACAACAGGCACTAAAGCAAAATGCTGTGATTAGACATTATTATTTCATAACTAAAGTATACTGAATTATTAGTCAGTTAATTACATTACCAAATGAATTACTCTTCGAGAAGCTTTTATGCTTAGATATTTTTTATGTTGACCTTTTCATGGACATCATTTAGTGTTGTCCTACTTAAAAAGAAGTTATACAATATGATGTTGAGAAGAGTTAAAATAACACCACATCATATTAGAAAATACATATTTTAAAGTAAAGAATATTTAGTTAACACATATAGAGCATACGCCAGCTCCTAGAAGAATATCTGACCCCAAAGGATATTTGACTAATAGACCATAACAACGTAATCCAATTTCTTAGCGAGTTCCTATACGTTCTGTATTATTGTAAATCAGATTTGCATTTCTGAATTCTAAACAGATATTATGCTGTATAACTTGTAATCTACTTGTGTGTGAATAAATGAGTACTGAAAACAGTCTTGGTATTTTGAAGGTATGGAATAGTGTTTCACAATTTGCTAACCGCATCCCTTGTTAATTAATTTGAGAAAAAAGATATTTTCTTTGCACTTAAAGTAGGCCACGTGTTACGTATGCCTGAACACCGATTACCACGTTGTGCAATGCTAACGGGTGTTAGAGATGGTTGGAAGAGAATTAGGGGCGGCCAAACCAAAACGTGGCATCAGTGCTTAAAGACACTAACCTCTAGTCTGAGCCATGTTGGTAGATGCAGACTACTTGGTTGGGGTCCGCGTGACTGTCGTAACCAATGGTTGGAGACTCTTGGTGACATGGCTCAGAATTGATCACAATGGCGTAGGTGTATACGCTCTCTATCTTCCCTTAAACTAAGAGATTAAAATCACTTCATATCTTTCTTTCTACGAACTAATTCTTTCTTCCTGTACTGTATCCTCATATACAATCTTTCTTTTATATATTACCACCATTGACTTAACTACTTTTATGAATCCGGTGTTCATCTTGTTGTGCTAATGCGGTATGGCAACCTGGACCGATGTATATGTATGTGCCTGGTCCTACGTTGTAGCTGACTGACTGACTGACTTAAAGTAGGCTCAACAAATATAACTACTTGTAAGTAGTGTAGATATACTTAAAAACTTTTCAGGGGGTTGTTCATAATCCAAGATTTATGTAACAATCGTATGGAGTAGCTTATAAGTCTACGAAACTAGTAAATGAATATGGCACATTCAAAACTCATTACTTCATCTCCATTTTCAGTATCAATACGATTTAAGACCATAACATTGTACTGATAGCGTGTGATAAGTTTGACAAATAACTGTTTAAGTATGAATAGGTATGGCCAAAATAATAATTGTGATTATTATTCAAGCCAATTTTTATGTCCATAACCACATGAAACATAAAATAATATACATGAACACACACAGAAATAGGTACACATTAACACCACATCCCACATAGAGTAAATTATGCAACATCCAAGTGATTATCACACAAAATAAACAAAATAATATGAAAAAAGATAGAAAATGGGAGAAATGATGAGTTATTTGAAGTTAAAAAGATATTCAATCAAAATTAAATAGTCAAAAAACACATTTCTCACAAAATCAGAAATTCTAACTGGTTTTTAACTGAATTATAAACTTAAGTATTTAGAGATAGAGATGCTAAATCTATAGATCAAACTAATGAGGAATATTGGAATCGCAACTTTATGCTTGTTAGTATTGTCTCACTTTACGAACCTTGTGCCTTAGAAGTATTTTGAAACTTTTCCATTAACTATGGTATATACTTCTCTTAACACGAAGATTTTTACACGAAAAGGCTACTCAATAGTATTATGAGTTTGAATTCGTTCATTTCAAAAGCCTAATAAAATCATAACACTTGAAAAAAACCCAGTCATTTCTGCTATTAAAAGTTAGTATCATCAACTGTTCGTTCACACAGGTTCATATTGAATTTTAATGATGGACTAAACATTCGGGAAATTCCAACTTAGATGGTCGAATCAGTTATTTGGCCGGATTAAAACGATATTACAAATGTGGGATTTAGATGGTGGTTGGAAGTAGTCAACAGGAAACCCTGGATCCGGGTTTCGTGCTACTTGGCACTCGTCAACAAGGTGTACCTGTAATCTTGAGGGAACTGGTGCTCCCTGGTGGATTCGATCTCGTGTCACCCAGCTTCATAGTCAGAGACGTTACCACTGAGCGATCCAACCACCACCTAATCTCAATATATAGTGCCCGCAATGTCGAGTCACCTAGACTGGTGGTCACAGCGCAACATGGTCGATATCATTTGATCTGCACTAATAAGGACTAGACACGCATGACATTGATCGCCACCCAGTGATCAATCAATTGTGAAATGTGGGATTTCTTTTTACCACAATCGCATATTACTGTATAGAAATTCTACATTTAAAATATGAAGATATATATTATTAAGTCCTGCATCTTTTGAGAAATTCCTGTTTATAATATTCAAGAGTAATTTGGATATTTCTATTATAATAAATTGAGAAAATAAAATGGGCAAATATTTTTTTATAGTTTCTTGTCAGACTTTACATTACAATGAACTATATAGGTAATTGTAAGATATTTGTATAATCATTGTCACCATAATTAATTTCTAATTCGTGTATTATAATCTTGTTGATCATCAAAACAGTCTGAATGATCAAAATGGCTAGTTTTATTTTTAATTGTAAAACATAAAGAAAGTTTACTGAATTTAGATATTCAAGAATGATTTGAGAAATATGCATGAATTCCAGAAGACATTTTCTAAGTTAAGCAAATTGTTTGAGTAATACGTATGTTCCAGTAATATCCATTTTTTTTTTACAAAAAATGAATTAATAGGAACTGTTAACTAGATATTTGTATTACCAACGCGTTTTAAGTAGTGTAATAACCCATCCGTCATAAAGAAGAAGTTTTGTTTTCAAAAAGAGATTGGTATAAATAGTAGTTAAATAAAGTGTTGATGAGAATTAACGTTACTACTGACTAAGGAAATTAAAATGATTTTCAAGCCATCAACACTTCACTATAATTAATATAAGCTTAGAAGATTTATAGCATTAACGTTTCTATCCCATTCGTTCATCATACTATCAATATAACAAAATAATTAAAAGAATGGTGAAATATTAACTACAAAAAGGTTATCGAACTCAAGAAACAAGTGACTTACTTTAATGCGTGCTAAATCAGCTTCTAATCCTCGAATATTTGCCCGACGTATAGGTATTTGATCTACAGCTGTTTGCATTTGATCAATCCATTTAATTAATCCATCAATAGCACTTTCAAATTCACCTAAACCAAGTAGAACAGTTTGTAAACGATGACGTCTACTATTGCCGGAATCTAATAAATTGTCCCATCGTCGATTAGCTACAGTTAGATCAGATTGTAATGATGTAGTATTTTGTACTGGAAATGTTCCGTCATCGCCTGTAAAAAAATCAGTAAAATGGAATAAAATGTAATGAGCATGTAATGTGGATAGTAATTTATTGGATATAAAGTGTATAAATCGCTAATTCACTTCCGAGTACAAATTTCATACAACTATCGGTCAGTCAGTAAGCTACAACGTAAAACCAGGCATATATATACATCGGTCCAAGTTGCCATACCTCATTAGCACAACAAGATGAACACCGGATTCATAAAAGTAGTTAAGTCAATGGTGGTAATATATAGGAGAAAGATTGCATATAAGGATATAGTACAGGAAGAAAGAATTAGTTCGTAAAAAGAAAGATATGAAGTGATTTTAATCTCTTAGTTTAAGGGTAGACAAAGTGTATACACATACGCTATTGTGATAGATTTTGAGCCATGTCACTCAGAGTCTTTAACCATTGGTTACGACAGTCACGCGGACCTCAACCAAGTAGTCTGCATCTACCAACATGGCTCAGACTAGAGGTTAGTGTCTTTAAGCACTGATGCCACGTTTTGGTTTGGCTGCCTCTAACTTTCTCCCAACCGTCTCCAACACTAGTCATACGATTATCACATATTAATCAAACAATAACGGTATAATACTCCGCAAATTACCAACAAGGTGGACAGAAGAATGGAAAGGATAGACTGTAGGGGCTGGTACTATGTCAAGCATACAGGTTATTCTAGCCTCTGAACAGACCAATCTATTTATTTTCCTTAAGCCACATTGTTACCCTGTGACTTATTTGTTTATCAACCTTGACTTTTGTTATTTAAGCGTACGTGTGTGAGTTGACTCACTCACCTTCGCTTTCCGATCAATGATTGTACAAAATATACGAATTCAAAAATTCATTCTCGTATTTCACTAACACGAGTTAAGTCGATAATTAAATGCGAGGATTGGCTACATATATAAGTCGATAACAATCGGTCATACGATCTAATTGGAGTCAGATCACGGGCCACCAAAAGATCTTGACGAAAGAGACTTGATCGTACTTCAAGGAAAGTCAGTGATGTGGACAATGCTATTGATAATATACTGTTTGCATTACATCGGATTACAAACAATAAAATAGTTATATATAAAGGATTATGGAACACTCAATCTGCAGCGATAAAGTAATAAGTCGAACGGTTATCAAATTATTCATAAAGTGACCCCAGAAACTGAAAAAACTACTGGTTCCGAAAAAAAGCTAGAGTACATTCTGATTACGGTTTGATCAGAAAATATAGAGTTTTGTAAGGTCCTTTATTTTGACGCCAAATTTGATCGAACGAGCGATTGTTGTCGACAGGTTGACTACATTAGTGGTGGCCCTGTATATGACTCCAGATCGATCGTATGAATGATTGTTATTGAATTATACATCCCGGCTACCCTCGTATATGACCATCGACTTAACTCGAATTAGTGAATAACGGAATTAAATAACACGAATACGAGAATGAAGCTTGAATACATATATTTCACACAATCGTTGATCTGAACGGACAATCAGAGACTGAATGAAGGAAGTGAAGAGGAAAGAGCAAAGCGAAACGGATCAGAGAAGGCATGTGAGCTAACTCGATTTAAGCAAGTGTGAATCTATATTTATAGTTAAACAAAAAATAAGTTACGGACATGTGATGAGTAAGATAATAAATACACGCACATACGATCATATAGAAAATAGCCAGGGTTACTAAGCCAATACGTGATAGGGTAAAAATGTGGCTTGAAGAGAATGAATAGATTGGTTTGTCCAGAGGCTAGAATAACCTATGTGCGCTTGACATATTACCGATCCCCACAAGAGGACTCTAAATATCGTTGTTCATCCTCTTCATAATATAATACTGATTATTTTATGGTTGTGAATATGCTTCTGACATTTTGTTTTGTTACTTTGCAAACTTAATAAAAGTAAGGCATAATGGTGTTGTATCATTTACCTTTAACAGTAGAAAACATTTGATTAATACTACGGATTTCCCCAACAAAACCACTTATTAATAGACATATTTTTGTTATATCCCAATGAATAAAAAATCGTATTTCTGAGGTCTCGTCACTTGATGTAACCGACATTAAATGAATACAAGTTTAAATAGTACATAGGAAACCACTTATTTAAAAGACAACAAAGCAAATGGTCTGAATTAGTCATAAGTAAAATTGTTAATTAATTTTTCTTACTTGTATCATCCAAAGTAAAACGTTCATTATCTGTATTAGACATCAATTTTCCAGCTAACCAATTTAATGCTTCAACTTCGGAATGTTTATTCATTAAATTATCATTCCATTGAACAATTTCATCTAATTGTTTCGTAACAATATCAACATTATTTGATATAGGCTGAAAATTATCCCATACACTTTCCTGCTCCGTCAACCATTTTATTAAATTTATTAAATCAGACTAGAATAAAAAAAGAAGATTGGGAAAAAGGCATATATATACATGATGCTTGCATCATTCGCATATTTTTCCCCTATTTGTATATACTACTTTATTAACACTTAAGTAACTACGAATATACAATGAAATTTGGAGTGTATCTACTGTGCTTAGACCTATTAATCCGGTAAAATTCAAGTGAAACACTTGAATTTAATGTATGATATGATGCTAAGTTATAATAATTAGGATTTTTATGAGATGGAAACTTTGTGTGGATGTAGTTCATATATGTGACTCTTTACATAAGTCAAGGTAAATAGGTTTTGCTTAAAGTTTTATTACTGAAAGTACCGACTTTTTAAGACACGGACTGGCACTTAGAGGGGGGGGTAACATTTGTGAAGAAACCTTCGAAAAGTTACATCATTTGGACCCATAATTTTAGGAGAGCTCATTTTTATGTTCTGTCAGTAAATTATAGAGGGCACTCAAATGATTAAGTTTGTTAGTGTAATTACGATTGTGTCTACGGACAAGGATGTGTAGACTGTAAGGCATTGTATAGTCTGGAGTCTGAATTCGTGACTCGTGCCAAAGAACATTTAATCTATACAAAAGACCTCTAAATAATCTCGCAAAACTAGAATTTCTACAAATTAATTTAGAGCTATCAATACATTCTACCTTTAAAAACCATCAACTCGATATTAATTATATCAAGATAATTAAAAAAATAGTTTTCTAATTATAAGGAAATGCGATTGGCTGAAGTATTTCAAATTTCGTTAAACGAAACCGCGCTTAACGATCCATCCTTTATGGACCATTTATCAATACAATTAATCCTATTCACATCTAACATCATAAACAAACATACAAACATATAAATATCACATTTTCCACACTCACTAACATATACACAAATACACACAGCTAGATCGCACATAGAATAACCATGATCAAAATAACTTGATCAAACATATTCAATTTTGATTATACTATAGATATTCTGTTTCGCTTTCTTTGTACTACTTAAAGTTGTGTTAATTTAATTTGTTGCTTATTATTGTTATTCTATGAAGAATTGAGCTATACTACATCACGGAACGTCAGAAATTTAATTTTCTACTCATTGGCACTTAACAAATATATTATAGAAAACACTTACTTAAGCCTGTTACCCCTCGTGGAGGAGCATAGGCCGTCGACTATTATAGGAAACAGGTTATGAATAATTTTAGCATTGGAACTAAGAAATGAATGTTAGCAAGAATAATGTGTTTTTATGTAGATTTTCAACAGAGTTTGGTTGATGCTTCATGTTTCCTGATGAGATGCACAAAGAATTAGCTGTAAGGTATGACAATGAAATCATAATTTAAAGTATCTACAGTTAGAGGGCTTGAAATGTTATGGTCGTTCTTTACAACAATTGGAAACTTTGACAAGGATGTGTTTTGAATACTGCGCGTCATTTATGAAAATCATCAGTCAAAGTATCGTATTCAGAAGATTGATGAAACCAAGCTAATTAGCACAAATATGTCTATTATGTAAGTGATAAGCTGACGATAGAAGTTTACAGGCTATGTTGGGAAAGTGACCAAATGAGTTTCATAGTCTTCAAGACAATTGAATGTGAGGTTGAAGGAACACAAACAATGTTTGAAAAGTGTTCTTAAATCCTCGGTTGACCTAAAGAAACTTGAGAATAAGTCGACGATAGCGTTGGAAACACGACACAAGATCAATTTTGAAGGGACGAGAATACTTCAGAAAGGTTTTAACACTCATAAGGAAAGATTGACAACAGAAGCACTGTATATATGAGCGAATAAGAACAATATGAACAGAAAGGATGGTATTCAACTACATGGCAAATATTCGTTAACAAGTAATTGGACCTTTTCTCTATCCATCCTGTTTATTTTACATGCATCGTTATTTTGACTGAAGTTAATGTGGGTTATTTTAACAATACAATTGTGTATTTGATTGAAATTATGAGTCAACTGAAGCTAGACCACCATGGAAAACCTGGAAGCACTGGACGACCGTTCCGTTATATTATGGGACTCCTCAGGAGTGCGCGTCCATGATACCGCGGGATTCGAAATCAAAGCCTATCAGTCTCGCGCCAGGCGCTTAACAAACTAGACCACTGGGCCGGCATCTAATGGCGTTAATGTCTAACATCAACCAATCCACGATATTGCGCGACCATCTGCCATTGTACTGGGGCAGACACCTGTTTCCACCTGACGCGGATTAACTCCACTGGTCACGGCTTCTCACCAGAACTCCGAGAATGGTCGCACAATTTCGAGGATTGGTTGAGGTTAGACATTAACGCCATTAGATGCCGGCTCAGTGGTCTAGTTGGTTAAGCGCTTGGCGCGAGACTGGTGGGTCCCGGGTTCGGATCTCGCGAGGTGCGGGATCGTGGATGCGCATTGCTGAGGAGTCCCGCAATAGGACGAAACGACCGTCCAGTGCTTCCAGGTTTCTAGCTTCAATTGACTCATGATTCAATCAAAAATTTAACAATCTCCACAACCCCTAAACTGATTATTGTGTATTTGATAATTTTCATTTTATAGGCACATCGATGATTCAGAAAATGATTTTTCAACCTTCAACTTGCACTTTTATCTTTCCTTCATATAAAAACAAGTTAACACAGAATACCTACTATTAATAACTCAAACTTACACAGACATAAACACTCACATACACACAATTCATTCAGTTATTTATTTTCACATCGTGAACTTTTCACATAATTCGCATTTAACTGACCAATGTATGCCAAAGTCAGCATCTAAATATGATTGGATTAACACAGTATAGATTTGATCTGATTTGATTATTAAAACGCACAGTTCTCTTTAAAACGCTATATATTTCTTTGACGATTTTGAGTGTTATCCTAAAGAAGTCCAGACAAGTGTGCTGGACGAAACGTGGGAATTATTAAAATTTCAATCACTGAGATTATTTCAAATATAATTTTCACATATAATGAATATTGAGAAGAGTTTAACAAATCAATATAGACTAAATATGATCACTTCTTTAAAAAAAAAGAATTATTCATTGACCTACCTTAAACTGTGAGGCACATAATTCACGTTCATTGAGTTGTTTAATTAAACATTCACATTTATCAACAAGATGTTCCTGTGATACTTTTAAGCCATGCAAAGCATAATCAACTTCATTACGTATAGCTTGTTCTTCATCTCGTCTTAAACTAAAGCTATCAGTCATTATTGTTGGCATTAGTGATGTTTGTGATAGCGATGATGGTATTGAATTGTCAGTCATTTGTCCATTAATTAAATTAATCAATTTCTGACCAGCTTCATAGGATTCATTCAATTGTTGACTTATATCATTCAATTCTTCTCTTAATTCAAATAAATCTTTACATTGTTCTTTATAACTATTTGAATCAAGTGGATCACGTCGAATACACGGATCATTTAAACTACAACCTGATCCGATAATATTTAATGATTCTTTAATTTTATCTAATCTATTTCTTAGATCTGAAATAATTGGCCAAAATTGTTCTGATGATGTTTTGTAAGCTGATTGTAGTGTAATTACACGTGAATTTAATTTGTTATGTAATTGTATCCAATCTGTTTGAAGTTTTTCAGCATTTTTCAAAACTAATAAATAATAATGATAAATAATAAGAAGTAGAGTAAGGAAAACTATATGAATCTTATTAGAAAGAAAATACTATAAATATTAGAACTTTTCTTACTATGTGGTAATGAATTTTTGAGACTAGTTGACCTAAAACTATATACATAACAGTCTCAGAAAGATACACATATTACAAATATAAGTTATTTAATGGTTGTGAGGAATCAGTTATAAATGGCACAGAAGCTATCGTGGTCAACAAGAACACAAACGGTGATGACTAGATGTATTAGAGCATGAAATTACACAATCTCTTAATAAAATCTGAGAACCACACAATAAATACCTTATTTGCAAAATTTCCATTAATTGTCTCGGAATTTATTTTTTCTTCATTTTCATACCAATCGCTTTCTGTTCTCGTTCTCTTCTCTTCGATCTTCTCAATCTTCTGACGTCAGGCGTCCCACTTTCGATTGGTAATACATACTACTTATATTTGTCGACATCAGTAGCACACACCACATAATAATTATTCCTCTCTTTCAATACTAATTTATATGAATAATGATGGTAGCATTCATGTCAGTTTTCATCAAGGATGAAAGTCAAGTGACATGCCATTGAGTGTAATGAAGCGTTGGAGTGGCTACATTCTATGCTTCAAAATAATATAAACTCAGGTAATCTTCTGTTAAAATAGTTTTATACTCTTTTCAACTAGATAAATTTTCATGATAATCCCGGCATTAGTGTGATGATATAAAGTTATAAGTGATTGTTCTTTTTTTAAAGTCGAACTGAATTATATTTATTGCTGGTTTAGATAGAAACTAACTATGGATTTTTCGTCTTATTTGAGGCTCTTTAGTGGAGAGAAGTTGTGATCAAAGTATTGATGTTTTGAATGGCAAGGGCAACAACAACAGAAATAGCGAAGACGACGACAGTAAAATAGCAACAACATGAAACTACAAATACTAATGCATGACCGGGATAAATTCGACTTATTTATTCGTTTTCATGAATATACCAGACAATTCTAGCGACTCTACAATAACTCCTATATGAGTTTATTCCAGTTTGTGGACAGACGAGTTATTTTGATCTTATTGAGTATTCTGTACACCTTTTATTCAGCTTAGTTACTTATTATTTACTTGTCAGCTTGAGCATATTTATACATGTGTGCATACTAGTACGTGTGTGTCTCTTTATTTACTTGTATTTCGTAGATTGGGTATAAAAAATTAGTGTATGTTATCAACTTCAATGATCAACCTATTCACCACATCTCTTATTGTTTATCCGTTTCTTAGTATTCGAATGTACGAAATATATGTATCCTGAACACACTTTGTATTTAACTTATTTTATACTGTAATTACTAATGCGTCTGAGTAAGTGCACGTATACGAAGTAATAAGATCTTATATTCTTTTCGTCTTTATCTAATTGGAGTCAATTAAGGACTAGAGAACACTGTTTAACTACATTTAAATCATGAGCCGATCTAAATTAGACCACTATTGAAAATCTGGAAGAACTGTACGGCTGTTTTATACTAGTATGGTACTCCTCTAGGTTTTCAGTATTGATCCTACTTAGATCAATTCATAATTTCAAGGAAATTGAACAATCTCCACGATGCCATACTGACTATCTAACTAATCGTGTAGAACAAATATATACACACAAACACATTCACATGTACATATTTATAAAATGAAAGGGTGCATAAACATAAAAGAAGTATTCTTTTAACAGCATTTCAGTACAAAAACAAAAATGTTAATAAAGGAAAAATTACAACAAATAATAAAGTAAGACAAAATAAAATCCCCATCCATTGAAATTATAAGGTATCGATAAGTAATCAGTACATTTAACATGCAGACCCTTTAATTGAACGTAGGGATGAGAAATATGTTACAATTGAATAGTTAAAAAGACTGATTACGGAAAATTCTAAAACTGCACAACATTTATGAATTGGTTTAGAAATAACGAGAACAAAATAGTGATTATATGTTGATAAACCTCGATACATATAAACAGACTGGATAGATATAAGAAAACGACTACTTTTTTCATCAAGAAAAACGATCATGTACAAAATGACATAAACGACCTCTGTCGAGAATAATTATTCGAATAATCAGAATCCTCAATAGTGAAACATCAAAAAAAGGATATACACGTAAACTCAGTACTACTTAATAATCCTCAGTAGTTTGAGAACATTTGTTGTATTTTTAACTCAATGAACTACCTATCCCATCCACTTGTGCTTTTATTCAAATATTTTTGTTTATCTTTTACTTGTAACAGTATCTCTTTGTTCTTTCAGAATGTATTCCTTCTTTCGAACTTCATTCCTTGAAGTTCAATTTACCTTGGATGTCTTGCTTAATTGTGGAACAACGTTCATCTATTTCGTGTTTGTAACTAAAATTCATACTTGACGTATTTGTGCATTATTTTTCGATATACTGTATTCACTGAAAATTCATTATCCTTCACTTATTTCATAGGTGAAATTTCCCTCTGACTGTTTTTCTGTCGGCTACGCCAACAAACTAACACCTTATAATTTGAAGTTTCTGAAAATTCAGAATTTAAGTTGATTTCCACAGTGGTCTAATATTTTTGGGAACATCTCATCTTCTGACTCAGATTATATACATGTATATAGTAATAAGTCACTAGTACCAACGGATAGCCATCAATTTATATCACTAACCTACTAAATTTGAAAATGTGGATCATCAGATCAATTGTTAATCTACTCGCTGCAACTCTAAATAGTTTGTATTAAATCCTATGCGTTGTCACTAGTGTACGCCAATGAGGAGCTCTAAACCAGAACAAAACAGTTATCTAATACGTCTTGATTTCTAACGGTTTTCTGGCTAACTGCAGTATGATGTGAAAATTATATTTACACAGTTAGTTTTGTGTTAATAACATGTGCTTACATTTAATTATTAACCATTAAATAAAATTACTATCACCAATTAAGCATGCTTTTAAATGAATAATAGACTGTCGCAGTCATTTCATTCAACTCTATAACCATTAAGAAAGAATATATGCATATCTATAAATGTATGTACGATTTCTTAAAACAAATACTAACAGAAAACAAAATTATCTAAATTATACAAAACATGCACCATAAATGCTTACTGGAACTATGTAAAGCATACAATTGGCCTGGAAAATAAATACGTTGCGTAAGTTTAGAAAGAGAAATAGTAGAACAGTCAGAAGTTTTCACTAAACCTGACTGAATAGAATAATTTGGCTTGTACAGATAAACAAAATTTAAATTTTAACAATTTTTATTTCCGAGTAGTATCTGACGTACAATTACAACATAATCCCGTACATCTAGGAATAGTGTTTTACTGGAAGTCAGTAACTTTAATTTCTGAAGTTACAACACCCAGTATTTTTAAGCTAGCTAATCGGTAAGTAGTACTGGAGTTCTCCAACTCAGCGGTGCTTCAAACCCTGATATAATAAACAGTAAATACTTTTGAAATGTATGCGATTTTCAGGAAAAGTCTCAGAGTTCAGCAAAATTTTCAGAGAATCAATTCAATAAATAATGTGAATAAGTTGTTCAGTTTGTTGTTTACATTATGGACTGACTTTAGTTAGACAATCACTGAAAATCTGGAGTACTGGACACCTATTTCGTTCAGGTAGTGGACTCTTCAGTACCGCTTTCAGATGAACCTTGTATGAACCAATGTCTATTTGAGAGAGGAAAGAATACGTTAATTTATCTACAGAACATGAGCAACACTGAAGAAGGGACTATGGAGAATACAATACAACAATCATACTAACCTGCTTCTAAATCGACCGATTCAATTAATTCAACTGTTCCTGGTTCACGTGTGGTAGTCGACTCTTTGACAGTTGGTTTCGACTCCAATTGAGCACGAATACTAATAGTAAGTGCTTCCAATTCCGGTAAACGACATTCCAATGCTTCCATAAGAGCAGATGTCCCACTAATATGTTCTTGTAAATGATCTGGTTGAACACTTGTCATTGAATGTATTCGGCCCAACATATCTAAAGCGTGATGTTGGTCAAGTAACTGTTTTGAACTTTCATTTTGAACGTTTGATAATATGGACGGTTTAACAGTTGTACCAGATACTTCCAGAGGAACACCTAGTCTAACAGCTTGTTCTGATATAGCAGAAAACAGGTCTGACATTGAATTTAGTTGCTCGACAAACTGAAATATTACAGGAAAGATATTCACACAATTGTTAAAAATGAAAATTATGATACATTTGAGGAAGTACACAGTTATATTATCAATATCAATACTATTAATTGTAGTAACTGTCTAAGTTCAAATCTATCCATTCAATTTTAAAATATTCTAGATTAAATCATTGAGGAACAAAGAAAGATATAACACTAGATCTATACTACACCTTATCATTTATAAAACAACGTAAGAGATTGTGAAGTGATATACTACCAAATGAGATATTATTGTAATTCTACCAGGTAATTAACCGTTGTTCTTCAGCTGAAAAAAACATACGGTTAATTTTTATTCAACCATATTACTTTAAGAAAAAAAGGCAGAAACTTTTCTAAATCATTCAAGAGCGTATGTAATGCAGACAATATTAGAGATGTTTTTTTCTTCACTGTGTATAGTAAAAGTAGATGAAGATGTACAACATAGAACAAAACTAATACACAAACTTGCCTCATCTGATTGTTTCAAATTGGCTTCTGCCTTGATTGCACGAGTTTTAATCAATTTACGTAAATTAGCATAATGATCACAGATTTGTTTAACTTGTAAACGTACAGTATTAGCTTCATTTGGAGCAATTAAAGATAATAATGGTCCACTTGTTCTTAAAATTCTATCCAATACAGATTTTTGACGTTCAATCTCATTATCTAAATTCTGAACATAAGAATTAGAAAGATATAAGAAAATATTTATTTACACTGAATAGTCATTGAGCAGTTAAGTGTATCATATTCGTTTGATCTTTAATGCTGATCATATATCATTGATCAATATAACCACTAGTCTAAGGGACTTTATATTGAATGTTAGTTGATAATAAATTAGTTCCTATATTTTGATTGTTCAATGATATTTCTAGAGTTGGTATTTATTGTGTTAATATGAAGAAATAACTTTCAAGAAGTGTGGTTCAGTAGTTTACACGGCTAATCATCATTCTCAGGAATTTTTCTTTTCAAACTTATTACATTTACACTTACTTCAATGTATATAGCCAGGTAGGAACATGCATATTATAAGACTTATAGGATAGAATGCTGTAATGTATGTAGTTAATGATGTGTTTATTTTAACAAGATTTCTTAAACCTAAATAAACAGAGTTCTAAATTATAAAAATATCTGATATATTCTTATCCTACTCAAATTATTGATGATATTTAGTGAAATGATTTAATAACCTAAAAACCCATACTTAACAGTGATCCGAAAATTGTCTGTTACAAAATAAACAATAAACATAAAGTATAGATTCATCATATCATGAACTGAAAATAAATATTTAATACAATTTCTTATAAACTAATCATTAGGGAAATAGGATTACGCCTAGATTCACATGTATATCCAATGACGATGAAACAACAACGCACTGAAGAGTCTTTATAAAAAACATCGATAACGGTTAAAAAATAAAGAATAGATAGTTAAGTTTTAGTAGCTAAGTATATTTTTCAATTGATAGTTCCAACCCTATAAGAAGTAAACCAGTGTAACTGTGACTCTTTTATTGCTCCCCTCCAATTAAACAACTTAGGTAATAAGTTATACTGTGGAAACGGTCACTGCTTGCTAACTCATGACATAAAATTAGGCCTTCAAGAAATCAATAGGAAAATAGAGAGACCCGAGGAAATATATACAATTTAAAGTGATGATACATATAATGTTATTCAAACAAACTAACGGTGTAGCGATGGGATCCCCCGTGTCCCCGATTGTAGCCAACCTTTTTATGGCATACATAGAATCAAATATCTTCGCCCATAACATTATACCACGAATTCGGCTTAGATATGTAGACGATACATTTGTTGTTATAAAAAAGACTCATCTAAGATCTTTTTCAAAACGAATAAATACACTTTCATCGCACATCAAATTCACGAATGAAAATGAAAATGTACATGGTGAGCTACCATTCTTAGATTGCTTAGTAAAAAGGAATCCAAATGGAAGTCTAAACCTATCCATTTACCGAAAACCGACACATTCAAATCGTTATATTGACTTCCATTCAGCACATCCTTTCAGTGCAAAGATCTCGCTAGCCTTAAATCTTTTTAGAAGAGCTAACAAGATCATCACATCAGAGAAAGACAAACAAAAAGAACAAATGAATATAGTTAGCATCTTACAATTTAATAATTTTCCTATGGAGATTATTAGAAGCATATTAAAACAAAACAATTTATTACATTATAATAATGATTCGAATGAAATGCCATGGATTGGTACTGTAGTTCTACCATACCGTCATGGCACAACAGAAGAAATCCAAAGAATCTTAAAACACCACAGAATCAAAGTGTATTACAAAACAACGGACACACTACGTAATACTTTAGTTCGCCTGAAAGACAAAATCCCTTTCATGTCCACACAGAACTGCGTCTACAAATTAGGTTGTATTTATTGTGATGCCTATTATATTGGAGAGTCATCCTGCGAAATCGTGACTGGAGCCAAAGAACATATTAGGTACACAAAGAAACCTCCTAACAATCCTGTAGAATTGAACCAACTTCAAATTAAATTGGCAATAGCAGTTCATGCCATTTTCAACAACCACCAAATCGATTTTTAAAATATCAAAATATTGCAAAAAGGCTTTTCCAACTACAAAGAAAGGAGGGTAGCTGAGGTGTCCCAAATAATGCTTAATCCTACTTCTCTCAATAGAAAGGAAGGTCTTACTATACATCCTCTTGGACCATCTATCCTAGCCATTCAGTCTGATCGTATTTACAATTTCACACGATCATATTACAAATTTAAACTCTATCCTTTCTTACCATAAAGGTCACACAAGTTTTCATTCTTAAACAATGCACATATACATACACACAAATTTACATGCATATCACCTATGAATCACCTTGACAGAAATGACATGACATCAACTTGTTCAGTCCTGTTTTTTGATTGATCAAATATTATTCTTGCATTGTTCCGTTGTACTATTTAAACTTGGATTAACTTTAATTTGGTTATTTATTCTCTGAAGAAGTGACTTACACTAAGTCACGAAACGTCAGAAAATCCAATTTTCTACTCATTGGGATATTACAAATATATTATTTTATTTATAACAATCAACCCAATGCTCAATTTATTCGAAATTATCAAATCAAACCTTGGTAATGACACCTACAAATGTTAAATTCTGCTAGTTTATTCCACGTAAAATAGATTTTATGTACAAAAAGCTTCAACTTGACGATATCTAGTGGTTCGACACTTCAAAATATCATGGAACAGTGGAGGATATTTTATGAGTTTCATTTCAGTTAACAAATGAATGATAAGGGATTTGCTGAGTGGTTTCATGTACATAAATTATCCTCATTCATTTCGATTTGATTAGACTAGAATATATCAGTATTTTGGAATTTTGTTAATATTTTTAAAATCATTGACTTCAGATAACTAACGAATTCGTCTTTCAACAAAATGAATCAGTTATATTTCAATTTAAAACACTAGAAGTTACCTTAATCATTTCGATTCGTTTACGATTACCTCCTAAATCATCAACTGTAACACTGGAATCTGATAAATTGTCAGCGATTTCATTTTTTGCTTCTTCAATATGTTGAAGCCAGTTTTGAAATTCATACATATCAGTTGTAAAACATTTAGCCAATGGATAAACTTCAGCAAATTTAATTTCTGTTTGACTTAACCGATTATCAAGTGTTATCATTTGTTTTGAAACACTAGACACAGCATCACTTAATTCATGATAAAATTTATCCGTTGTAAATGGTACGAAAGACTTGTTTGTTTTTATAGGCGATGATGATAATGATGATTTTATAGCACTATCCTGATTAGTAGAACTTGTTGATAATGCAGATGATTGTATTATGTCATGAATTTGATCGCATAATTGAGTTAAATCAATTTGATGTTTTTTCCAATTCCCTTGAAATTGTTCTATTCTTTCATGTAGTTTATCTAACATAAGAGGTTGATATGGTAGAACAGCTAAATAAGGAAATTCAGTACCAAGTGAATGTATAGTTGGCATTTTTCCCAATGATTCATTAATTATAAAATGATTTTCATCAGAATAATTATCCCAATCTAATGATGGTGCAGTGGATATTTTCGGATCAAAACGTTTCAACGCTAAATCTAACCATTGTGATTTGATTTCTAATTTATGCATTAATTGTTTAGCTTTTTGACGATTGCTACCAACAATTTTAGCTAAATCGGTAAGCTATATACAAATAAAAGATAAAAAGAGACAAATCAATCAACATAGAATAGACAAGTAGGATACAGTGTGAGATTTTATGACATGCACTGACTTTCACATAGTACAATGATGAATACTACTTGCTACTTACAAGATATTTTGTTAACAACAGATTCAAGGAAAATTGATGTTGACTTCATTAGTTTAAATAGTTTTTCGACTATATGTCCGATAGCTAATCTAGCATTTTCGCATTTGTCCACCTTCGTACGCATGATAAAATACTATTCCTCACCATTGATATTATTTTCTTTTTCGTTAATCAACAGTCGGGTTAGGACATGTCATCCAAGTAGAACATTCATTATTGTTTGACTCGATCATATTAAGTCGTATTTGAAAGTGAGAAATGATCGTGGGGTTACTAATGAGTTGCTTTTCGATGAATTCCTTAGTGAGAGATCATTGCTTATGAATTTAACTGGGTAGAGAGTGAGATAGCAGCCAAATGAAAGTGTTAGGTGACAATATCTCTACGGTGAAAATTGACTGAATTTCAAAATGCAAACCAATGGATTCCGAATCAGTGACTTAAACACTTTGTACTTGTCACGAGGCGTGAAGCGTATAATTTCCATTCTGTGCAGGGTCGTAGATGTGTGATGTTTGACAATGTCAATTTAAGACGACACAGATGTTCATAGCTCTCTGGTTTTCAATATTTCTGCTACTGAGTCAATTAGAGGTGAAAGTTATGTTTAAAAAATCGTGTTGATGAGCTCTTGCATTCTACTGTGGTATCTATTTTGAATGACGAACAATATTACATTTATGAATTCGATAACGTCTTTGATAGAATGAAATGCAAAATATAACACTAATTTAAACTAACCTTTTCATTGAATTCATCATATCGCCTTAATTCATTATCGATTTGTTCTACATGTCCAAGTCTAGCATCTGAATGATTAGGGAAATGTGTTGTTGTCAAGGTTGAAGGATTAATAAACAGATCAATAGGTTTACATATTTGTTTTAATTGATTCCAAAGACTATGAACTTGTTGATATTGTGGTTCTAGTCCATTGATCATTTCATATTCTAATTGATCTATCAATGACTTTTCTAATTGGGCTGAAGAAACGTCTTTTGTATTGTTTTCTAGTAATCCATTAAGACGTGATTCAACATTAAGCAAACGTGAACTAAGCGTATTCACAGAGGATGTTAAAGATTGCGCTACAGGCAAAGCAGATTCTAAAATAAACAATTTTCGTTTTGTATCTGATTGAAGTTCTTCATAAATATCACTTAGATTTACTAATCGATTTTGTATAGAATCTTCATTTACAAGAACTATAGTGGAAAGAAAACGTGGAATAAAGTTTATGATTATGGTAATTACTCATAATTTGCTTATAATAACATATAAGTTTATTTTAAACTACTTAATGACTTTGATCTTTACATCTAATAACATCTTTGTTGAATAGATAAATTCCATTTTATTTGAGTTCCGGTGTAAACATTAACACTGGAATGTAGGTACATCCGGCTAACGAGTCCCAAACAGAAGGAAACATGTGTACTGGATTCTACTGTCATTGTTATTATTATTATCATTAAGAAAATTATTACTAATGGTCACAATCTATCTACTCTAAAAGATTCAATTTAAATTTATGCCTTGTATCTTAATGTGTAGATAAAATCTAAGTGGTTTGAGGAGTTAAATTTTAAACACAGAGTAATATGAACTTCTTATTCACTTCATCTGCTAATTTTTGAGAAGCCAGGTAGTTTCTACTAGACATAATGTAAAAGAATTCAATTAAACTATTTATTTCAACGGTTGAGAGCGTGACTCAATTGAAGCTGAACCACCATGGAAAACCTGGAATCACTGGACGACCGTTTCGTCCTATTATGGGACTCTTTAGCAGTGCGCATCCACGACCCCGTCTCGCGGGATTCGAACCCAGGACATATCAGTCTCCCGTCAGATGCTTAACCATTAGAATACTGAGCCGCCACCCAACAGTGTCAATGTCTAACATTAACCAGTCCGCGAAATTGCGCCGCCGTACACCATTGTCTTCAGTGAGCTAATATCTCACAGAAGACCTGGTTGAACTCCATACTAGGACGAAACGGCCGTCCAGTGCTTCCAGGTTTTTCATGGTGGCCTAGCTTCAATTGAATCATGATTTCATCTATTGAAATTACTAAAACCTCCACAAAACCCCTTCTGAAAATACCATTGGTTAAAAATAAATCATTGTACTACTTACATCTACCTGATTCACATAACTGTTCACCGCTTAATTTAATCTCTTCAATAGTTGTGTGATAATTTTCAATGTCTTCTGATAAACTCTGAATATGAAAAACAAAACAAAGGTGAAAACAGTAAAAAAATGAATAAACAGTATACATGGAGACAACAAAGAAATTTTAGTTAAAATAAATTATCTTATTCCGTTAATGTTTACAAAAAAAAATAAATTCGTGAACAGATGCTAGGATGAGTTCGAAGGATATGTAGTGTTGGTTACTGTGTTAAGCCCATACACCATATCCTAGTTTCTGGACAGGTCAGTTTATCCATTCTTCGTGAGTCACGTTTTGACCTTGTTAATTATTCACTTATCAACCCTGACTATTTTTATGCGCACATATGTGTATACACTTCCTAAATTCATTCATCACATATTTGGCTATAAATATTGACTAACGCTTGATTAAATGGAGTTGGCTTACACGCCTTCTCCACTGCGCGTCATTTTGCTTTGCTCTCTTCTATTCGCTTCATCTCTCGCATTTCCTGTCCAGATCAGTGAGTGTAAAAAATATGTGTATTCGAAAATCCATTCTCGTATTTGAGTTATTTAATTCCGTTATTTACCAACGTGATTTAAGTCGATGAAATATACGAGAACAGGCGACATTTATCTTTCAATAACAATCATTCATACGATCTAAGTGGAGTCAGATCCCGGGCCACTAAAAATATATGGTGCATTTCGTTTCGCCTATTCAACAAATAAGAAATAATATATATGAATTGAAATAATTTCATTCTTTACATCAGTATAATTTAAATCGACCACAAGATCTCCAGTTGCCAAATATTAAAGATAAACAGAGTAATCTTCATCAATATGTCTATGGTAAATTTATAGTGAAATCGTGAAAATGAATATATCTGAAAGGTATTAATTGCTTTCATTATATAGAACTACAAATTTTTAGAAGTTCTAACATGACTTTGCAAGGTTAAATAAACTGCTTTTGTAACATAATATATATTTTTAAATATTAGTTTCGTGGGGATATATGAACAAAGGATGAATATGATGATGCAATAAAAAGATTACAATACTAGATTAAGTAATACAAATGATGACAATAGAAGTTAACAACGGATTATGATAATTAGAAAAAAATTCTAATATATAAGTACAATTGTACAACTATGTAATATATTTTATTAAGCACTATTCCTATAATCAAATATTAAATAAACTTAATATGTTCTGTCAAGATCGCAGTTGAATAAACTCATGCTACTATTAATTTGAATCCTAGTAGAAGGTCTATTCTCCTCCATGAAATGTAATAACCGCATATAAGTCAGTCAGTCAGTACACAACGTAGAACTTCGTAAGTACGTACATCAGTTCGAGTCGCCATACCAAATTAGCACAGAGATGCAGTTGTCGATTCAAATCCCGTAGTGGTAGAGGTAGTAAGAGTATAAGCAGTAATCCGAAAGATTAGGGTTTGAAGATGTTATTCAAGGAGTATAATACAGTGAAATAAATTTGGGAAGAGAAAAAGAAGAGACAAGGAGGAATCAGGAGATTAGAATTTGGAAGTACACAAAGAGTGGATGCACATGCGCCATTGCAAACGATTTTGAGCCATGTCATTCAAGGTCTCTAACCATCAGTTGCTATCATCTCGCAGTCCCCAACCAGGTAGTCTACACCTACCAACATGGCTCAGTTCACTTGCCAGTGACTTCAAGGACTTGAGCCATGTTTTGGTTTGGCCGCCCCTAGCTTTCTTCCAACCTACTCCTATACCACTGAACATAGCACGTCGAGGCAGTCGGTCGTTGGGCATACGTAACACGTGTCCCAGCCATCTCAACTGATGAAGTTTCACTACGTCATCAATTGATTTGCCATCCTTACCTAGTACCCGTTTTCTAACAACTGCGTTACTTACTCGATGGTCCCGGGATATACGAGTAGTGCTTCGAAGACACCTATGATCAAATACTAGTAACCTACGAATATCCTCTACTCTCACCGTAAGTAAATATACTTATATTTAATGTTATATATCTAAGCAAAAGACAAGACAAGGGATTATTGGAATAAAACTATAAAAGTAAATTATTCCAATCATTTTATAATATGAACATGTAAAAATTCATTCAATATCAAAATGAATTCACAATAAATTTTAATATTAACAAAATATAAATATTTCAATAGTTTAGATCATGAGTCATTTGAAGCTAGATCATACCATGGAAAAATCTTCAAGCACTGGACGGCCATTTCGTCCTATTTTGAGATTTCTTTTCCATGATGGTCTAGTTTCAATTGACTTATGATTTCAACTATTGAAATTACTACAATCTTTACCAAAACCCTTTTTCTAATACTAAAATATAAATAATTCAATAAATAAACTTACTTTTAATTGTTTTAATTTTTCATTTAAATCGATTAAAATTGTTGTATTACCTATTGTTGTATTCGTTATTTGTATTGATTCATTTAAACAAATTTGTTTTTGTTTTAACCAATTTAATATTTGATATATTTTTTCATTAAATAATTTTTCATTTTCATTAAATAAATGAAATTTATTTAAATTAAATTGTATTTCTTTATAAACATAATTATAATCATTTTTAATTAATTGTTTTTCATTATTTAATCTATTATGAATTAATTTATTTTGTATAGATTGAATTAATTGATCTAATTGTTCAAAATGATCTAATCTTGCTAATATACGACTATTTAATGTATGATAATCATCGATTATTGATGTAATCATTTCTTGATTAGATGATGATGATGATAATTGATTTGAAAGTATATGAAGATCATGTTGAACCTAATTATGATAAGCAAAAAAAATTGTTTGATAATTAAACACTTGAATAAATGTACAATTAATTTGAAAAGAAAATTGGATGAACTGAAAGACAATGATTGTCAGGACTGACACAGTCTATCTAACCTACTGTCCTTTCCAAGCTGAAACTGATTTAAGGAATATATGTAGAATTTCCAGTTGAAATCAAAAGTTAATCTACGCTAGACCATCATTTTGTCCTAGTATGAGATACCTCAGAAGAGTGCATCTAAGATCATGCATGCACGTGAACACTGAACCTTTTAGTCGATTGCCTGAGGTGAATAACTGTCTTAAATCTGACACGGATTGGACTCCAATGATCATGGCTTTTCACTAGGACTACAGAAGTTACATCTTGAAGCTAGTCACTAGTTAGAACATGAATTGTTTAAATCGAGGTATTGTAATTAGTAGGAGAATAATTTCGGAGATTGTTCAGGAAGACTATATTCCTCTTTGATATTTACACTTCAATTACTTCATATCATAACAAGGTACATTTAGGAACTTTCGGAATCGTTTTTAAACTGCAGTTTGTTAACTTATATCTAGAAATTCAAGTGATCCTGATTACATTAACGATTATTTAGTGGATGTATGTATGGTAGTTAGAAATGAGTGTTGTAAGGCCTAGAACTGACTTGCCTAGTATATGTACCATTAAGAAAATATTAAGAAATTTACAAAAAAGACTGGATTCAATAATGATAATTGACAAATCTTCTGGCTGAACACTTGAATTAGTTTCCTAAGCTCTTCTAACAACCT